AATTGAAAATATCTAGGTTCTTATGAAACACATGGTGAATTTATTTTGTCTAAAATTATTTCGACTAGTAGCTACAAAAGTTAATTATCCACCCATTTTTCCAAATCTAAACTTCAAACACTTAATGAAATTTCACTCCATCCATATTATCTTTTTTTAAACAACGATCGGTCATCGATGGTGTCATTCCACCCTCATCCCTTTCGTCATTTTAGAAATTCAAGAAACCCAGTAATAGAATAGAAGTGACCTAATTCAATTTTACTTAAAATATGGGTTATGTTTTTATACATACTCAATACCGCATACACATTAATCGCATTGGGGTCCTAAGAGCTGTGGAGTATCACACCTTCGGCAGATATTTAAAAAAAAAAAGAGAAAAAAAAAAGAAGAAAGAAACAAAGCAAGCACCCTTAGGGCCCGTTCAGTTCGTTGATTCGAATTTTTAATTCGAGTTGAGATGTGACTTTATGTGAGAGTTTTTTACTGTAGTAAAAAAATTAGATGTGATTGTTTCTGAAAGCTTTTTACTATAGCAAAACTCGAATTCTAAACTCGAATCGGTGAAATGAACGGGACCTTAATGTTACAATAACCCATTTTGGGTAACTATATCTATTCATGTTCGATGAAACACTCCTTTTTGTTTTTATTATTATATGAGCGATTTAATACTAAATAGAACTATTAAGTTATTTTCAATATAAGCCTCAAGTTAATATCTTGTCTAGTGGATTGTCACATGTCAATTTGGTCTTAGTTTGTGGCATCAGTTGAGAGAATAATAATAATTAGATTGTCACATGTCAATTTGGTCTTAGTTTGTGGCATCAGTTGAGAGAATAATAATAATTAGAGATTTCAGCACAAATAGCCTTTTTTTAAGAATGTTTTTTTTTTTTTATCAATGGCCGAAGTTTTGTTAATTGCAAAATTTGTTGTTTTTATTAACTTAGTAGTTAATCACTGATAGACTTAACAGTCAATTACTAATAGACTCAACAGTCAATCACTGATAGACTCAACATTCAATCACTAATTAACTCGATTTTTCTTTATTATTAATCAACATTAGTTAACAATTAACTAAAATTAAGTTGCAACTTATCAATTTCAATCAACACATTACATGTTTATTAATAATAAATTATTAATAAATTAATAATGAATCAGTCAATCAGTAATTAACCGTAGGTCAATCACTGTGGTCTAAAGATCAATCACTGAGTCATATAAACATAACGGTATTTTTATAAAATAAAAAAATTCAATTATTTATGAAAAAAAGTGATTAAAAAAAGGTAGCCCAACCTAATTTTCCTAATACTTACCACCGGAATATTATGAAAGAAGTATAAAAGTTGGCTAAATCTAATTAGCTAAATAATTTATTATATTATATATAGTTAAATTTTTTTTGGCATTATTTCTTTTCAACGTTAATCTTACGTTTAATAATTGTCACGTACGGGAGAGACTGAAGAAAAATCTTATATATATATATATATATATATAAAAGTAACTATTAATTAATTTTCTCGTATCTGGGTTGACTTTTGCAGCATGATATGTGATGTCTCTCGTTAGGCTCTCTCTACGTAGCTGGCGCTGATAATGATGATCAGTTGACTGACTTGGAGTGAAAAAGATGTTTAGCTGGTGTTGATGATGATGATCAGTTGACTGACTTGGAGTGAAAAAGATGGCAACTTATAAGTCCACCATTTTTGGTATAATATTCTTCTCCGGATTTGTTAGTCTTTAAGATTAGTTAGCCTCTTGTTAGGTTCTCTCTACAGCTATCGATATGGATAAAATATATATATATATATATATATTTATATTTATATATATCTGATTATCCCTTGTTTTTTAAAGACTCATTTCAGAGTACTTTTACAAATTAACAACAGCATCTACCTAGAAACAATGGCAAGGGTCATGCACAAAAATACAAAACTGATGAATTTGTTAAACGGGTTTTCCCTCATTTTTTATTTTTCAAATATCATGTCTTTTTCTTCTTTTCTTCTTTGTTTTTTTTTTCTTTTTTTTTTTTTTTTTTTTTTTTTTTTTTTTTTTTTTTTTTGGGAAATTATTACTTGAAAGGTTTTTTGGCCATATCTTGCCGGCTTGGCATTTATGCTTGTTATACTAGCTAGCTAGTCATCCATGACAACAGACCATGGCAAGAATCATGCACCTGAAGTGCCAGCTAGCCCATATATGCCCACATTCATTTCCTCATTATGTTGTCAATAAGTAATTATTTGAATAGTTATTCATTTTCTTTGTTTTGTTTTGTTTTATTTTATTTGTTTTTGTGAAATCAGCATGGAACATCCATTGGTTAGCCACCATTGTACAAAGAGAGTCAGAAACATACATATTTAGTAAAAATAACGTCATCTTTAGTCCTATATATATACACAACAGTAAAATAAATTAAAATAAAAATAATAAAAAAATAGAAAAGATAAAGATTTAGATAATTTAAAAAATTTTATTACGTTTACAGAAGAGGTAGAAAAATTTACTAACAATTTTAAGAATTACACACTCAATAAACTTTCTGACATTCTCTCTCACTCGAAACACCTTACACCCTTTGTCTATCTCTCTCTTCACTTTCTCTTACTCTTAAAAAGAGACACTCTTTCTCTGCACTTTCCTCTTAGCACACTTTTCTTTGAGTACACATAAAAGTTTACACAAAATACTTATTTATAGACTCCTAATAAATAATAAAATAACTCTTATCCAAAAATAAAAAATAATAACTTACCCAAAAAATACAAAATAGTAACTTTCTCAAAACCAATTTGAGACACTTTATTAACAATCTCCTCCTTGACTCAAATTCTCTCAACTCACTCAATTGGGTATCCAATCTCGACACTCGTCATCGCACTGACAATGCAAACTTCAACAATAATAAACATGCATCAAGTTCAAACTCTCATCAAACTTGACACGAGAAACTGTATTCTTTTTTTGAAAGCATTTTCATTGCTCTAACTTTTCACCATCTTGTCTTTATTGTCTTCACATGTCATCAATATCTTATTGCACTCTTTTACTCCTGCAACTACTTCTTTCACAATGGAATAAGACTCTTCGTGGCATGGCTCCACCTTCATAGCTCCACCTACAACTGTAGTCCCAATCAATTTATACAAGTTTTCATGTTTTCACCCTTCATGGCAACTAAATCACCTCTCTTAACTTGCATAAAACCATCCTTCGCATAGTACTTACAACCTAACGTGTTCAAAGCGCCCAAAGAAATTAAACTTCTCCTTAGTTGAGGAACATACCTAACATTTGTCAATGGCCTCACAACTCCATCAAATATCTTCACCTTTACAGTACATACTCCAACAACTTTAGCACGAGAATCATTAGTCATCAATAAAGTACCAGCATCACAAGGCTTATAAGAATCAAACCACTCCTTATGTAGGCACATATGGAATGGATATCTAGAATTTAAAATCCAAGAGTCAGAAATATTTTCATTAATAATAACATAATACACATCATCTTCGTCATCATACCTGTCGCCAATAACATTTACAGAATCTGAAGTCTCCTGGGGTTCTTACTTTCTCTTTTCTTCAAGGTGTTTCGTCAATTCTTCACAATTTCTCCTAATATCCCATTTCTTATGACAATAATAGCACTCAATTCCTTAGACGGGATTGAGAACGATCATCTCTTTTATCATAACATCTCCCTCGTAACTTGCTCATACCCCTATTTGAATCTAACTATGCCACTAAAACTTGTTCATTATGAGACTTAACTCTAGGTTTTCTCATATTTCCAGTCTCTAACAGAGCAGTGGACAGTCATCTTTCTAACTAAAAGTCTAGTCACCAAAGTCTCATATGATTTGAGTAGGGAGGCCAACAAAATTACTGTTATATCTTCTTCATCAATTTTGACATCTACACTTAATAATTGAGTTATGTACTTATTAAAATTATTAATATGGTCCCTGGCATCACTTTCTTCATTCATCTTCAACTCATACAATTGCTTCTTCAAAAATAACCTACGTGTTAGGGATTTCGACATATAAATTTTTTTGTAATTTTTTTCATAATTCAGAAGGGATGTCTCAATTATAACACTATATTTATGTTCAGGAGCCAAACTTAAACTAATAGTGCTTACCGCTTTCGCTTTCAATTTTTCTCAATCTTCATCTTTCATATTTTTTGGCTTCTTTCCTTGCAACGCTTTCAGTAATTCCTGCTAAATCAGAACATCTTTGATCGTACTCTACCATATGTTGATATTACTCTTTTCATTAAACTGCTCAATCTGCTCAAATTTTATCCCGGAAATCACCTTGACCTCTTTTTTTTCTTATTCTTCACTACAACTCTGATACCAGTTGTTGGGAAAAAACACACCCCTACACCCACGCAGTAGAAAAATAAATTGAAACAAAAATAACTAAAAAATAGAGAAGACAAAGATCTAGGTGGTTCGGAAAAATTTCCTACGTCCATGGAAGAGAGAAAAATTCACTAACAGTTTTAAGAATTACAAACTCAATAAACTTTCTCACTTTCTCTCTTTACCCAAAATTCCTTACACTCTTGGTCTATCTCTCTCCTCACTTTCTCTCGCTCTTAAAAAGAATCACTCTTTTTCTGCACTTTTCTCTGAATACATTTTTCTTTGAGTACGTTTTTCTTTGAGCACACATAAAATCTTACACAATACACTTATTTATAGACTTTCAATATAATAACTCACATTTTTTTTAATATAACCCTCGATGAAAAACAAAAAATAATAACTTACCCAAAAAAAATACAAAATAATATAGTTTTTCCAAAACTACTTTAAGGCACTTTCTTAACAATATATATAGACCACTACTCTCTGGGTTAGACAGTCAGTAGTGAGGAACTATATGCCAAGAGATATACCATAAAGAAATCTCCAGAAGTTACTAGAAGGTTCCAAGGAAATTACCAGATATGGCATTAGTTGGTAATTTGGTGCATGGAAATCAGGGAAGAGATTCTTTGTCAACCTCTCCTATATTGTTTTTCTTCATCCTTCACAAAGCCATTTGTAAGGGGCTTGATGAGCTTCATCAATTGGCAATGGTACGCCTCAATAATGGCCAACAAAATATTGACATGATTATTAAGGTCTTGTATGAGAAATACCAATTTCTGGCATTGATTTATGAGCACCATTTGAATGCCAAAAATGAGGTACATGTGCATGAACTTTTTTTTTTTTTTTTTTTTCCTTTTTCCGATTTTCCATGACTTTTCTGGTCTTATAGAATATAGAGAAAGTTGAGTAGAGAGAAAAAAAAAAGTGTTGGGAAATTGTGCAGGTGATCTTTGCAGCTCTTGACTCAAGACTGAAGAATTTAGTGCAGCCGTACTTACTTCAACAAAAGGGTGAAAAGGATCTCTTTGATCAATTATTGAGGCTTCTAAGTAATTTTAATAAAACAATGCAAAATGAAACCAGTTTCCAAAGAGAATTAGTGTCCTTGACAGGAGTCCTGCAAATGTTGATTACTAAAAACATGGCCAAGGAAGAGAAGCAGGTAGAGTTTCCCATACCATTCTCAGATATGCATCAGATTTTGTTTTTTAATTAGTAAGCATGATTTAGGTATCTATAATCTATAATAATACTAAATACAACATGCCAACAAGGATAAAGATATTGATAAGGCTAAAATTAAAGTTGACTACTAAATAAAAAGTTAATATAAAAAAGTAGCACGTGATTTAAGTCGGAAAATGATAATGTTGATTAGGACATTTTTGTATTTAGAGAGACAGGAATAAACACATGGTTACATCACATCAATTTTTTTATTACTAAATTCTATAATTAATAGATTTTGGGGACCGCCATAGAATCAACTGAATTAGCAGTTGATATATGTCATTTAGTAAAGTCAATGACTTTGCAAATGACTTTATGTCATTTGCAAGTTTGGACTCTAAGCTTTTGTTTTTTTAAATATTTATGACTCTAAATTTGATAATATTTGGCTATCCAGTCCAACTGACAATGAACATCAGTTAATAAACGACAATTAGGGTCCCAAATGTCAAATTAAAAAAAATAGGGTTCAATTTGCAAATATAGAAAAAGTTTAAGGTGCATTTTATGAAAAAATAGCAAAGCATGCATTCCATTCATTAATTGACGCCCACCGGCTATTAGACCATAATGGCAATAGATTTTCAAATTTAGGGTTCCATTAATTGCAAAAACTAAAAGTTCAAGGTCCAAGTTGTCAAAGACCAATAATTCAAGGCGCACCATTACTACCAAAAAAAAAAAAAAAATCATTTGGTTGAAATGGATAAACTTTTGGTTGTATCATTTTATAACAGTCCTATGTGTATGTTTTACATATCTGAAGTGCAAGATTATTAGAAAAGGATAACCTGGCTTTGAACATAAACAATGTGATACCCTGATCAATCCCTTGGTTAGTCTTTTATTGAACTAAGATGGGGAAACTAATTATTTTCAATTTAATTTTTGGTTTGATTTTTTTTAACCAATTTAAAACTAAATGTCATGCAAAGATAGCAACGAGATAGTCTTTCTTTCAAGCAATAGCTATAAGATCATCCTTATTGAACAACTTTTACACTGCTCCAAAAAAGGAACTTCTCATGTCTGATATAAAACTTTCTATATATGTTCTTGACTTCTTGTATGAAATATAAGTGGACTGTCTTGATAATATGAACAAAGAACAAATACAACAATATGAACAAAGAAGAAAGATGACATTATTCTAACATGTTTCTCTTTGATCATATTATTAGGTGTTTGCCTTGCTTTGCGAGAATTTCACGCTCGAAGAGCAGGCGTCTTTGGTCTGGCAGTTCCTTTGCAGCCTGCCGACTTACGTGTTGTCTAAGGCACTTTCATGGGTATCAGCTTCCCTTTCAACTTGCGAATATCAGGCTCTGTTCAACTGTTTAGTCAAGATAGTGCCAGAGGAAAAGCTTCTCCAGCAGGTAAAGTTTTGAAACTTTTAAGAACATGAGATCTTGTGTTATGCACCCAGGAATGAGCTAATTACATTTTCTGTTTTATTTGAAAGGCCATTTTCAACTGGATTGAAAGGAAAGATTCGCGTGATACCGAGTTGAATGGTCCAATGGAGAAAGAAAATTTTGAAATTCAACACACTGGATCGCATCCCATAGATGATATATTGCTCTGGCATAAGGCTATTAATAGAGACTTGAATGAAACGTTTGAAAAGATCAAAAGGATGTATCTCTCTGGCAATTTCACCAATCGATCAGTTTGCGAAGAAAGGGTGCGGTTTATAGCTGAAGTTTGCATCTTTCACAGGTATTCCTTTCTTTAGCTTTGTAAATTGTAATTTGGCTACCTGAATATTAACTCTTACTGAAATAAACTAGATGTACTTTATGGAGAAAACTTCAATTTTTTTATGCATCATTTCTTTTCTTTGTTTAAAGTTCTTATTTCTCTGGTTGCAGTATTGCTAAGGACAAGGTCATATTTCCAGCAGTTTATAGTGAGATTTCATTTTTCCATCAGCATGTTGAAGCAGAAAGTAAATTCAATGAGTTTTGGACTCTGATTCAAAGTTCCAGAACAGTCTCTTATACACCATCTGAATTTCATTTGAAGTTATTTTCTTGTGCTGATCAAATAATGGAAACAATAAACAGGCAATTCTACATTGAGGAAGTCCAGGTAATCTTTCCTTACTTATGTAACATTTATGAGAGAATATATCTTCTTCTTCCAAATGATTTTGTACTTCACTCTTCTTCTAAGTCAGTATTGAACTAATAGGAACCATTAGCAGAACATCCCACATTTATTCCTGAATTTGGCTATTATGTCAACATGTCTAGGTTCTTCCACTTGCTCGAGAGAACTTTAACGTCAAAAAACAACGGGAACTTTTGCATCGCAGCTTGTGCATGATGCCCTTGAAATTGATCAACCACGTCTTGCCATGGCTGATAGGCACAATGAATGACGAGGAAGCGAAAAGATTTCTCGACAATTTTCAATTGGCAGGTTCTAGTTACTTTCTTTATGATGGAAATTTGTTTAAAAGACATGTGTTCACTGTTACATATTTCTCAAACAACTTTTATGCTAATGCAGTACCAGCATCAGATACTGGTCTGGTAAATCTTTTTTGTAGTTGGGCTGGCAAGGTTGGTAAACAGGATTTATGCTCATCTTCAAGTGCAAGAAGCTCACGTCCTACCATAAGATCATGCAATGGCCATATATTACAAAATGAGCATCACTATTGTTGTTTTCCAGGTTTAGCAGTAACCAATAAGAATTTCAATGTTAGTTCTCTCTCTGCAGCTAAGCAATCTTTTTAGCTTGCCTCTCCTGGTTCTAGTTGGGATTACTTTAATAAATGCCCCTTGAACTGTGTACCCTATACCAATATGACCCTCGAAGTTTGAAAGAGTTCATTTCACCCCCACGAAATATGTAAATCATTCAAAACACCCTCCTAAATGAATGTAATTTCATAAATGTCTCTCGAACTATTGATTTTATGTCATATAGCCCCTTGGGGTAAGTTGACATAAAAGCAATAGTTCGGGGGCAAGCTTACTTAAAGTCAATTATTTGAGGGGCTTTATGAAATTTTAATTAGTTCCATATCATCATTGCATTAATATTAGAGAGGAATTTGGAAGGAAGGGATGTTTTGAACAGTTTAAATAGTTCAAGGAGTGAAATCAACCCTTTTCAAAGTTCGAGAGGGATGCTGGACTGTGAACATAGTTCAGGAAGCATTTGTGAAATTAATCCTTTTAGTTTCATTACTTAACTCTAAGTCTTTGTGACCAGGAAACAAACAATGGATTTTCTACTGAGCAGCCAATTGATGTCTTATTCAAAGTGCATAAAGCCGTACGCCGAGACTCGGAATATTTAAGCATTGAATCAGGCAGGGTTAGGAATGGTGATGAGGCTTTTCTACACCAATTCATAGGAAGATTTTGTCTCCTGTGGGGTTTGTACAGAGTTCATAGTAAGTCTGAGGACAACATTATACATCCAGCACTTGAATCTAGAGAGGCGCTTCGGAATGTGACTCACTCCTACAAGCTGGATCACGAGCAAGAGGAGAGAATTTTTGAAGATATTTCCAGCGTTCTTTCTCAGCTTTCACAAATTCATGGAAGCTCGAAAATTGTTCCCATTGCAAAAAACTCAAGCACAAGTACCTTGGAATTCTCCGCGTTTCGTGAAAGTGAATGTGTGACAAAATTTTCTGAGTTATCTACTAAGCTTCAAGTGATGTGCAAGTCCATAAGAGTGATAGTAGATCAACATATGTCAAGGGAAGAATATGAGCTCTGGCCATTGTTTGGAATCCATTTTTCTGTGGAAGAGCAAAACAAAATTGTTGGCTTCGTATTAGGGACTACAGGTGCTGAAGAGCTTCAGTTACTATTGCCATGGGTAACTTCTGCGCTTGCTCAAGATGAAAAAGATAAAATGATGAACACATTGAAGCATGTAACAAGGAATACAATGTTCAATAATTGGCTTAGTGAATGCTGGGAAGGAGATTCAGTATCACTTTTAGAAGCTTATGTATCAGAAACTAACATACCTCCAAAAGGTATGGGATGAAAGAAAGGGAAAAATAACATCATTTTTATCATTGTTTGTTGTGTGAAAAACTACCAAAATTTCTCAAATTTCTTCAATTCTGCAGGTTTTCTAGGAGGCATGGGCAAGAGTGATCAGATGTTTAGGCCCCATGACATCAAAAGGGTTTATCCGCACTCAACTTCTGATCATAAGAGAAGGGCAGATCGTCTTCGGAATTATATGGCTAGGTTGGTGTCCAACCGAAATTTTCTTTCTTATGATTCTTAACTCTTTTATGAAGTTCACAATTTCTTATCCCCAATGTAATGTTTCTGACCATGAATCCTAAAGTCGCTTACTATTAACTGTTTCACTTTTAGTCACTGGATGGCTGCTCAGCAGAGACTTCCTCAAGTAGGTGAAAACCTAAAAGGAAAGTTGCTGTCATTTCGCGATCTCGAGGGAGATGTATTTGGGTGTGAGCATTACAAAAGAAACTGCAAACTCCAAGCTGCTTGTTGTGGAAAGTTGTTTACCTGTAGTTTTTGCCATGACAGAATGAGTGACCACTCAATGGATAGGTAAACTTCTTGTATTACTACTTAAGTATCAATTTGGGACTACTTTATTGGGCCTATTTGGTATTGTTGTTGCTTACTCTTGTAGATAGTAGAAGATTATAAGTAAACACTATTGTTTTTGAGGTATTTTTTGGAACCACATTTTTGAATTAGCAGAATGAGACTAAAATGATGTTTATTTTTGATAAGGCAATAAAATATTAGAATGAAGTTTACAAAATCTTATTGAATTTGGGGTACAAGTTTAAGTACTTTCTTGAGAAGCCACATTTTATGTCTTAAATTGGGCACTCTTTTGGAGGCAAGGGGGCAGTTTGGCATTGCTCTTGGAGGCCCCCAAAAGTCCTTTTCACATAACCTAATGCAAGTGATGTGTTTGGTAAAAGTGTCAGACAGTACTTTGCACAAGCACCAATGCACTTTTACAGTTATTAGCAGAAAATGAGATTTTAACTTTTGCTTGTTGCTTCTACTTTTCCTTTTGCCATAAGTAAAAATATCACTTCTTTTAAAAGCACTGCAATCCCAAACTGGCACAAAGAACTTCTGAAATATCATTCAAACACTCTCAAAAGTAACTTTTAAACCTGGGTAGTTGAAAGCATCTTTCAGGAAGCCATGCCAAACGGGTCCTATAACTGATGTCGTGCTCTGCCATTGCAGGGAAGCAACAACAGAAATGATGTGCATGAGATGCTTGAATATTCAGCCACTAGGGCCAAAGTGCAAGACACCTTCATGCAATGGATTTGCAATGGCCAAGTACTATTGCAGTATATGCAAACTTTTTGAGGATGAAAGGTAGATGGGTTCCATTTGTGAATTCTGAATTTATCACAATTCAATCACTTAAAGGAACCAATAAATTAATATAATTAAGTCGCTAAGATTTCTCCACATTCCATACTTCTTTTCTATTAACTTGAAGTACTATTTCCTAAGATAAGGACATCATATATCCTCTGTAGCTAAAACTCTCTGCAATCTTGTGATGTCCAAGATGATGCTGTGAAATAGGGGTTGGTGCCCTTCCATGTTATCTTCGCCGTTTCTTTAAACTCATAATAACAATCTTATGCTTAAGCAAAAACATAAGATTGTTATAATGAAACTTAAAAAAAAAAATTGAAATAGAAAGTTATAAAAAAGACAATTGCACATTCTAAGAGGTTAAAATCTAAATAACATAAACGAAGATGATGTTTTACACTTTCCTTTTCTTTTACTACTACATAAAAGAATAACTTCACAAACTAAGGTCTCGTTCAATTCGCTGATTTGAGTTTTCAATTCAAGTTGAAATGTGAATTTATATGAGAGCTTTTAACTGTAGCAGAAAAAGTTGGATGTGACTTTTTGCGATAGCTTTTAACTGTAACGAAACTGGAATTGAAAACTCGAATCGGTAAAATGAATGAGGCCTAAAGCTTCTCAGTAAACGGGAAATGCTGGTTTAAGAAGTTGGGCAGGGGTAAAACAAAAGGTACCAAGACTAAAGGCATACCTTCTTGTCATGGGGATTACTTAAGAAATTAAAGATTTCTTAATAAAACATATCATGAAACTAGAAAACAAAATTGAAAATATTGGCTTGCTATTTTGGCTTCTAAGTTTAATCTTAAGTCTCTGCACGCAGTTAACAGGCATTGACATCATTGGTGGCCTTTTCTTACTACAGGAATGTCTATCATTGCCCATTCTGCAATATATGCCGCATCGGAAAGGGTCTAGGCGTCGACTATTTTCATTGTATGACCTGCAACTGCTGTCTCTCTATAAGATTGTTGAGCCACGAGTGCAAGAAGAACTGCCTAGAAACCAGCTGCCCACTCTGCAATGAATTCTTATTCACATCAACCACACCAGTCCGAGCTCTACCTTGTGGCCATTATGTTCATTCAACTTGCTTTGGCGTAACTGTACTTGTCTCAATATATTGTTTATTTTAATTTTTGAAATGTTACATCTCTTTCTCCTAGTTGATTGATTGAATTTAATCTTACACGTTGTACTATTGTATCTTGTCAGGAATGCGCGTCAAGTCCCTATAGATGCTTAATCTGCAAAGAGACTTCAGAAGACACAATGGTAAAAGAACTTACCGATTTGAAAAATACTATCACTATTGGTGATGCAATCACCATAGATGTGACAATGTATCAGAAGCGTAACATAACATATCGAACTCAACTGTCACACACGTGATGATGCGTCACCCGTAGTGATTAATGACGACGCTCTATTTTACTTGTGATTCAATATCTACATGGATTTCCTTTCAGTTTTTATGTTAAAACTTTTTTTTTAAACATAATCCTCAGCAGAATCCTCAATCTCAGAAGAGATTTCTCCAACCAAAATTGCAGAAGGCATCAGCAGAATCCTCAATTACGGTGGGTTTTGACGGGGAGATGAAAATGTACAACCATGATGAAATAGGAACAGTGGAAACCTCATCATGGACTAATGAAAACTCGTGGAAACGTGCTTTTAGCTTTGCAAGATTTTGGGTAGGCCAAACTTTCTTTGAAATACGAATGCCTTTTTGTTATGATACAACTACGTATTTCTAATTACACTCTATATTTGCAGGCAAAGAGATTATATTCTTTTATGTTATGGTTCGGTCTTGGAAGAGTACAAAGGATCGGAAACGGAATACAGAAGGTGGTTGAAGGAGACAAAGCCAAGGACACTTTTTTGCTCTGTTGCATTGTGATGTGCTCTTTGGTGGTGCTTTGTGTCATGGGCAGTCTTGTAATTTTGCTTTCTCTCAAGCTTGTGAGAGGAGACAAATATATTTTCCCATGGTAGATTTATTTCTGTGTTTGCTTGTTTCACAAGAAACTGAGGTTGAAAAGTTATCCGGGATTCTGATTGTTTGTTCAATAAAGTTGCCCCGGATAGGAGAATAAATATTGGAAAACTGGCGTTATATTGAATTTGTTTTTGTTATCCTCTTTAAGATATGTGAACGTTTAAACTTCCTTTTATTACAGCTGCAATTTATGCGAATTGTTGGGAGGTCATATTAACAATTTTGTTCCCTTATCTCTCTGCATAATTTTTTAATAAGTGTACGCATAAATCATCAAAAACTCGAAATTTTTGAATGAGAATATTATTTATCATGGATGGTTTCTTTTCTTTTCTTGTGAAATAGTTGCTATATGTTGTAAAAGACCATTTCAAACTTATCAAAGAGATTAGAGTTGGAAGAAAATAATGAAAGTAGGTACAAGTACTAATCTGGTACTTTCTACCAAAAGAAGTACTAATATGGGACTTGTGTTCAGCTGAAATATTTATCCACATAAGAGGATCCGCCGTCACAAGATTCAGACTCAAGAAAAGGAAAAGCAAAAAAATGAAACATACCAGAATTTAGATTTGTGTATCAGGAACGAGAATCCAAAATATGATCCAGAAACACATAAATATGTTGAACTTTTGAATAGACTATAGTGTACAAATGCAATCTCCCCTCTATAATACACAAAACCCTGATTCTAAAACCAATCTACAAAACTAAAGGTTTTTTCTAAGATACAATTTTGACACTTGACAAAATAGTACAACTTGTATAATACTACCTATACATATTGGGTCTACCGTGATCATCATAAAATGAAAATCTATCTTCAGGCAACCCAAATGACCTACTACTACGAAAGGGTCTCCGTAAACCTTCATCAGACGGTATCCGTGGCATGGAGTCTGGAAATGGAGGATACGAGGGGTGAGGAGGATAGTTGCTATATCTATTGACTGAGGATGGGCCAGTATCAAAGTGAGAATCGAAACGTGAATTCAAAGTAGAAGCCCTTGATCCTGACACCACAGAGCTGCTTGTGAGAAACCGGACATCAGGAGGAAACTCTGATCGACTCTCAATGTAAGGGCTGGTGAGGAATCGATCAGGCGCAGTTAATGCAACCTTGTTATCGGGATAATACGGTTCTAAGGATAAGCGAGACCCGGAACTGAGGAAGTTGGCTTGAGTACTAGCTTCTACCGTGGCGAAATCAGTTGGTAGTCTAAAAAGCCCAGTACACCCAACAGGAATCTCCAATCTGTCCCCAACCCTTGTACCAGGTTGAGTAGGCTCAATGGATCTATTAACAGCAACGGTTTGTGTAGTAGTACCTTCTAGTGGCAATCTATTGATTTTCTGCTGTAGCGAAAGCTTTGCCTGTTTGAGTGCATCCAACACGCCGCCTAACACAACAGGTGGATTGTGAGGTACCAATGCATAGAGATCATTTTGGCTCCCTGAAAAATCCCTTTTATGGGAACTACTGCCAGCGTCCGATAAAGCGCCTCTATCAAAAGGCTGGTTGGGCAATGACCTGTGCAAAAGTTGGCCGTGATGGGGGCTTTCTGAAGGTCGAAAATCACGGTTTTCCAGGCTCTCTTGGGCTTCCTTTTCCTTTGCCGTGGGGAAGGCAAATTCTTGAGCTTGAAATCTGGAAGCAACAGGGTCGATGTTGCTGCTTGCCTGAACCTTTAAGTCTCCCATAGCTGCACGGGTACGGGTAGGGTGTAGAAAGCCATTAGACTGCGGTTTGGATGATTCCTTGGACAGATCTACCTTGTTTGATTTTGCATCTACAGCTTGTGCGATATCTATCCCTACATTGTACAGTGTTTGAGCCTTGACTTCATCTCTGTCCTCAGTTACATCCGAGTGGTTCCCAGGATCATACGAATCCTGCATGATCCAATAATCACCCAGTTAGAATTTGACAAACTAAAATCCCAAAAATTAATATAGGTAATGGGAGTAAACTTTATTAAGAACAAAATCATTTATATAGAACATAAGACCAAGCATAACTGGTGCTTAAATCATAAGAAGGGAGGAGAAAGTCTGGATTTAATTTTGCCAACTGCAACATATTAATATAATAAGGGAAAGAATATCAAGTCCTCTAATTTTTTAATAAAAGAACAACCAAAGCCAGTACCTTTTATTTTGTCACAGAGGTGGATTATTCAAGAACTGAATCCAGATACGTCAAGCCAAAGGATTTTCTTTCTTTTTTTAACAGAGATAAAATAATTTTCATATTCAACTTTCAAGTTTTTGAGTATTAGGAAATACTTTCACCAAAGGATCAAGGACAAGCAGAGGAGGGATTAAAGGAGCAAAACAATGGAGGCGCTCACATTGTGAAGTGTGCATGATGCCTAAACCGAAAAGAAGATAGAATAAAAAATGGCTGCAATAAGCAGAGATATGCCTTTTTTTTTCTTTTTTTAATCCTGACCTGGACAGTTGCTTTAGTCCCATCGAAAATAATTTGTCCACTCAAACAAAATAGTCCACGTCAAAAAGCAAAAAGTGCAACATATGTTTATTTGTCATACTACAAAAGTAAAAGGATCAAAACACCAAACGGATGTGTAACCCTAATCATGAAACATATCATAGAGTTATATCCCAGAAAGTTATTTGCATGCAGAATACTACTAGTCTCGTGATATGGTATTGCCTTTCAAGGTTAAGTTTTCCTAGAAAAATAAATCTGCTAATTTGATTTCCTTATTTGACTGGACTGGAAGAAGAATTTCAGAGTAGATCCTGACAATAAATGCAACTATCCACATCATTTTATAACTTTTCTTGTTAACAAAGGAAAAAAGCCTTTATGAGAATGAATTACCAAATAGCAATTTCATATTGCAAAAACCCAATTGGATATCACCACACATAGTGTCTACAATCCTATCCCCTCAATAAATATCATCACAGTCCATTCATGTGTCTTCATGAAAACATAGTTTCTACTTGGCATGGAATAGACCAATACCTAGAGTAGCATGCAAATTTCCATGACATAAACAGACGTTGATAAAGCATACCGGTGTACTAGTGTTATTTTCTCTATACTTCTCCTCCCATTCTCTCTGAGCCTTTTCCATCTCCTCATATTGGCCAATAAGTTGGGCCCGATGTTCTAGTGCCTTCTTCATATCTTTCTCTTGACCATGGCCGTTGACATCAAGGTGATTGGGTATTCTTCTGTCATTTTTAACACTTCCTGGAAGAGGATCCTCAGATAGTAATTTCTGGATTTCAGAACCACCTCTTCCGATTTTTTCCTTCCGATCTCAGGCGTAGAATCCAAGCAATCTGGAGCACCTTCTGGTGGAGTAGCAGCTCCATTTTCTTGAGAATCAAACTTGAGAGGTTCTGTTTTATGATCCTCAACCACCGTTCTGAAAATACAAAACAAGTCAAAGTTAGAATTTTGCAAGACATATGACCCATTTGACATAGCTGTTATCAAAACAAAATATTGAAGAACAGAAATCTAGCATATCTGAGGATCCTCTTCATTTGTAAACTATTTTATTCAATGAAGTTTCTTCGTTATTATCGAAAAAAATGGCATAGCTGCCACTTGTGCTTTTACATAGTTGAAGAACAGAAATTAAGATCCCTGGCTTCGAAGTTGGATAAAGAAAAATGTTGAAGAGCTTTCTAAGACATAAATGAGAAATTCTTTTTGCCATTCATTAATAGAAACGTAAGATATAAGTGAAAAATGTTTATTTCGTCATTGTGAGGAAACCTCTTCCTCTTTGTATTTCTTTTCCGTTTTCTTTAATAAAATTTCTCCTTGTTTCTTTTAAAAAAAAATAAAATAAAATTCAAATAACTTCCCCTACTTTTACAATCCGTTTGGTTGAAGGGATAAAGAATGGAAAGGATGGAGAGGATTATAGTAATCCTTCATGTTCTTTGGTAGGTTGGAGGGAGAGTTGAGAGGATGGATGATAATTATCTGTTGAATTACTTAATTGTCCATTTAAACTATTTGTTAATAATTTCTTTGAAAGGTAAAATAATCTTTTAAAACTTAAATTTGATAAATTGCTTGGATCCTTCCATCAATGGAAGGATCCAATTTGAGCTCCTGGTATATTCCTTCAAGAGGGAAAACAAATAAAAATAACCTCTAAATGCTGCTTTTGGGCTCAAAAAGCCAAAATCCAGATCCTAAAAGATCTTCCAAACATGAGATTTCTAACAAGGACAGCTGTGGTGCAAAAAGAATAATGAAAATGCATGAAAATGCACCTAAAAGGTGTAGGGGAAGACGACCCTCCAAGATGACAGGAAAATTTGCAGCTTACTGTGCTCAAAATAAAACTATATTTGTTATAATTACTGCCTAACACCACCCCTAAAATCGTTCTTTCCTAATGTTAGGCTGCAGTCTTTCGTTCGTTACATTTAATTGTTGCTAGATATTCGATGAACCGTCAAACGGGTGAAGGTGATATTGGAAAGTTACATAGCTCAGTTTTTATGTTTGATCCAAGTTCTTGCACTAGTTACTAGTCTATAAATGCACAGCATATTTATCAGAACAAATTTGCAAAACACAAGAACTCACAAATACCAAATAATTTGTGTCTTACCAAGAGAAGTGGGGACAAAATGAATATATACCGCTACCTAAAACTAAAGAGAAGGCAGAAGGCAGAGGTAAGACTAACCTTGTTTCTCTGCATCTTATTTGGCGGCATGATTTACCTACATAATGCTTTGGAGAAGAAGAACCAAAGGATGACGACAAAGCATTCTGTCTTCTCACTGACGAATCCTTATACTTTTCGCGAGAACGTGATGAATCGCTACGGCCTTTCCAAGACAAGCTTCTACCATTGATTGGAGAAGAATCAAGGTCAGAACCCGAAAGTTCCTCCAAGACACTTCTTCTCTTGGAAACAACAGAGCGCTCCTCTCCATTTGCGTAATTGTTAGCCACCTGGTGGGTCTCTTGGTCGGAGCCTGAATCATAGGTCTCAGAAGCGTCACTTATTCCATGGTTCTCCAAAATGGAGAGAACATCCACTGTGGCTTTCTCAGCCATCTTTCTTTGAAGAGAAACTATTCTAAGTTGTTCCTCCAATTCCTCTACCTAATTTGCATCAAAAAAGAACAACAAATAAATAAAACAAACAAACAATATTGTGAGACAAGTGAGATAGTGAGTGAAAGAGAGAAATAGAGATAATAAAAGAACAAACAACATTGTGAGACAAGTGAGAGCGCGAACGAAAGAGAGAAATAGAGATAGAGAGAAACTCCATAGATTTGCAGAGAGTAACGTTCAGCATACCCTTTTTTCCAGTTCATCAGCTCTTTGTCTCGCACTTCTCGAGACAGACCTCTCAGAGAGCAACCGCGCACGGAGGAATTCGATAGTCATTGCGGTAGATTGAGAATCCTCCATGCTAGAACTACTCCTGATCAATAACAATACGTACCCACTTTGTTATGACTAAAAACAAAAACCCAAAGGCCAAACTTTTCAACATATGGTTCAGGAGCTTGTCTTTCTATTTTCTAAATGCCCACTCATAATGCCTCAACACAAAAACGAAACAACAACAGAATTCACTTTTTCCTTGCAGTCATTTTCAAACTTATGACATACAAGATACCCCCCGAGTTGTCAATAATTAAACTCCTATATTTAATCATCCACGCATCAACAATGAGAAGGCAAAACAAATTTAAAATCAAGGAAAACGTAAGCTTTAGATAAAAATATTTTCAATAATTCTCGCCACTGTCATGGAAAATTTGTAAAAAATTAACTCAAGTGACCCAACTAGCAGCAAAAGGGCAAGTCTAATTTGCAACTCATAAAGTCAAAATGGTTCAAACTAACAACATAACCCTATTCATGCTTAAATTCAAATTTTCAGTACATGAACTAAAAAATTTTAAAAAATAGCCCAAGAAATAAAAGGAAAATAAAAAAAGTACTAAACTTCAAAAGTCCAAGCTAAAGAACACCATAACTAAACAAATTGGAAGATACCCAGATGATCCTTACCTCTGATCTTGCTTTTCCTGATTGGAATCAGCCATTGTAAGACCAAAAAAATCAAAATTTCAACTTCAGAAAAACCAGCTTCCGCAACAACAGGACTTTACAAGCCTCGGAAACGTGGAATTGAACAAAACCTAGGTGTGAGATTCGCACGAAAAGGCCGAAAAGCAAAAGAGAAATGGGAGGGCCAATCGTTACAACAACAAGAAGAAAGACGCCATTAATAACCCTAACGGAGACCCATTTTTTTGTTTTGTCATTTTATGGCCTCCTTTCACTGTTGAGACTTGAGAATGAGAAGTACAGCTCTAGAGAGAGAAAGAGAGAAAGAGAGAGGAGAGAGAGAGAGATAGGAGAGAGAGAACGGGGGTCCGTTGAGAATGAACAGAGGAAGCTTCTTTCTCCACGCGACCAGTGGATTGGGAATGGGAAATGGAAAAGTTTCAACCAATAGCAATGATTCTTTTGTGGGTCCCGACTACTTCTACTTCATCTGGTGTTGTGAAGCTCATTCAAGTCTGCTTTACTTCGTCCACTTTCCTTTTGTTTTTGTTTCTCAGGAGTTTCTTGTCCGTTGAGAATGAACAGAGGAAGCTTCTTTCTCCACGCGACCAGTGGATTGGGAATGGGAAATGGAAAAGTTTCAACCAATAGCAATGATTCTTTTGTGGGTCCCGACTACTTCTACTTCATCTGGTGTTGTGAAGCTCATTCAAGTCTGCTTTACTTCGTCCACTTTCCTTTTGTTTTTGTTTCTCAGGAGTTTCTTTTATTAAATAAAATAGTATATATATATATATATTTTTTTTTTTTTTTTCTTAGAAAAAAATTTTTTTTTTAACGAAACAAATATATTGTAAATAAAAAAGCTATTTTGTACGGATAAGTTTGACAAATTAGTCTATTAACTTTTTCTTAACGATTCATTATAGACACCTCTTAATTTAGTTTAGTTTGATAAATTAGTCTATTAATTTTTTTCTTAATAATTCACTCTTTAAATTTTGAAATTATATTAGTCAAATTAAAAATGAAGTTAAAAATCTAGATGATATCTTCTATGTGAGTATTTAATAAAAGTAATTAATATCTTTTTATATCGAATTGATCCTCATAAACGCATCATGAGCGGAAATTTTGTTAGAATTGGGAGTTAACCATTTTGAGAGAAAACCTCAGAATTATTCTTATCAAACATTCACGTGAAAAATATCGTCTGAATTTTTAACTTCGTTTTCAATTTGACCAACAGTACAATAAATTTCAAAGTTTAAGGGGTTTATTGTTAAGAAAAAAGTTAAGGCACCAATTTACTAAACTTATAAAATTGAAGGGTGCCCATGCAAAAAAGAGTCAAATTTGAGGGGATCACTTTTTTTTAAAAGGAAGTTTCTTTTTGATAGAACCAGGAAAAATAAAATATTGGTAGATTTTTATTTTGAGTCATCAAATTTATATTAAAAATTATCTATTATGTATATATTTTTTAATTTGGTGTGATTTTAACATGATCTAATAATCATAACTGACACAATCGATCGAACTGTCCCACTAGAAAAATCTTTTTTTTTAAATGGTGTGCATATAATTACGGGACTGAGATAAAATTGAGCTCCATAAAAAATAAATTACTCTCTCTTTCAGAACCTCCTCTACCTAGCGCAGGGTCATCTTCCTGACGTGATGACAAATCTATTTGTGTATGTCAATGTTCATTCACTTAAAGGCTTCTAAAGTTTAATTTTTCCAAGCAATAAATCTCATAAAAGACTGCACAAAAAACACATGAATGCAACAAAATAAAAAGTAAAAACACAATTAGATTAAGTTTTATTAAACGAGATTCATTGTAAATCAAAGTGTAAGTGGACCGTATCTTCTTTTATTATATAAAGATTAAAATTATAAAATAGATGAAAGAAAAGAGAAGAAAAAATCCTATCGGAAAGGAAAATCTTATGATCTCCCTCCCCGGTGGAAAGAACATTAGAGTTTGAGGTGAAAATAAGAAACAAGAAGAGAAATAAGGGAGAAACCATAGGATCGGAGTTTGGTGATGATATTGGATGAGTTGTTTTGTAGATACCAAAGAAAAAAAGGAAACTTTATGGTAGGAAATTTTTTATAGGTTGGTATCTATTGTTTAAAAATATACACCAAACGTACTATGTATAGAATACACATAGTTACATTTGATAAAAAAAAATAATAATAAATAAATAATATTTTCTTTTTCCTCTCCTCGTCGGATTTTGACTTTTATTCCTATAAACTAAATAATTACTTGGTCACTACTAAACAAAAAATAAAATGTAAAATTTATTTAATAATTTATTAAATTAAAGCTTAAAGTTTTGTTTTTTTCTACTTGATTGAATTTCGTTCCACTCATAAGAGATTTCCTTAATTTTTCTCTTCCTAAATTGATCTGTGTTTGAATGATAGGGCGTTGCAGTTCTCATCACCATCGACGCAAGTCTCGAGGTCATAAATTGTGGAGCGAAAAACATTTGTCCTTAATCTTTGCTTAAAAATATTTTAAAAAAAAGTCAAGCAAAGTCTTTTTTTTCTATGTTTTAAACTCATGTTACACTATACTCATGTATGCTATGAGCATATTAATTCCTCTAAGAGCCCGTTTGGTTCATGGATTATAACTATTTTCGATTTACATATGTTTTTTGTGAGAGAAAATACTGTAGTGAATCATGAACCATGGATGATTTTTTGAATGAGAATATTATTTATCATGGATGGTTTATTTTCTTTTCTTTTCTTGTGAAATAGTTGCTATATGTTGTAAAAGACCATTTCAAACTTATCAAAGAGATTAGAGTTGGAAGAAAATAATGAAAGTAGGTACAAGTACTAATCTGTGTTTGAATGAAAGGGCGTTGCAATTCTCATTACCATCGACGCAAATCTCGAGGTCATAAATTGTGGAGCGAAAAACATTTGTCCTTAGTCTTTGCTTAAAAATATTTAAAAAAAAGAGTCAAGCAAAGTCTTTTTTTTTCTATGTTTTAAACTCATGTTACGCTATACTCACGTATGCTATGAGCATATTAATTCCTCTAAGTCTCCACGTGATTGAAAATTGACCTAGGAATCATCCCTTACGTACCAGCGAAAAAAAGCGTTATCCATTGTAAAATACCCGATAAGATATCTAATCGATATCATACAATTTTGGATTATTAGAGAATTTGCATGTTTTTAGTTCCAATATAGTTCGTGATATGATTTGGTTGCACAATATAGCGTAATACTAATATAGGCACCTTTAATATGAGAAAACATATATATAGACACCTTATTCTTTGATTTTTTTTTTTTTTTTTGTTATTTTTTACTTTTGGAGAGTTATGTCATAGGAACTAAGACGAGATTTTATCGAAGACAAATCTTTAGATTTTTATTTATTGAATTTGTACACTCTTCGTTTAATGTTGCACTGTAAGAAAAATAAATATATAAAAAAAATCCATTCATGTGTTTAAAAAATTTAGCAAATTAAATAGAATATATATACACACATATTAATAAAAAGCTCGCTTGGCGCACATGGATTCTTTAGAGCAAGGGTTAACTCTCAAATTTAATCGATAAAAAAGGGATTCGCCTTACTTTTGCCTCATACAGTTCAAAATAACACAAAAATAGCCATTGGATAAAATTATATTTTAGATGATGTAAAAAAATTAAATAAGGGAAGACATATTTAAAGAAAGAAATTATTATGTGATAAGAACACGTTTAAGGTATAAATATTTTGATGATACACGTTTCAAATTTTTTTTTTTTTAAAAGATTAGAATACGGGGAAAAAAGGACAAAGCAAGAAAAACCAAATAAAAAAACTGAAATGATAGTTGGAGGCAGCGTTTGATCATATAATATTTCAGAGGACGTACATATTAAGTAAGCACAAATTTTATTTAAAAAGAATTTTTTAATTGGAATAAATTAAAAGGAAAATGTATTTTGATAATACACTTAAAAATGAAGATATAAGATTATATGAGAAAAAATGCATAAGGGTAAAAAAGGCAAGAACGAAGAAAATGACAAAAGAAAAGAAAAAAAACATTCTTAAAAAAAAAAACTCAATTACGGATGAAACTCGACATAAAAACTCATTCTTAAAAAAAAAAAGTTTTTTTACAAACACCTTCTTAACTTTTCGAACTTGACAATTCGGTCCATATTCTTTTTTTTCCCTAATAATTGACCCATTCACTTTAAAAACCTTTTAAATTAAAGTTCAATTGAAAATGGCATTTTTTTAACGATTCTAATCACATGATGCACATATAAATATTTGTTGAGAGTAATAATTGTCATTTTTTACCCTTAGAGTGTCTGTTGAGGGAAATGATCATTAAAAACTAATGGCTTATTTAAGTATATTTGAATTTTGAACCATGATTTGAGTTCTAATAGTGTTTTTTATCTGACACGGAATTTGAATTCAAAAATTTTCTCTCTCATAAAATTTTTATCAATAAATCAGAATCATTAACTTGAATATATACTCCAAGCAGGCCCTAAAAGTTTTTTATCACATATAATTGTGTGTGGACACATTAGGAAAAACAAAACTTGCGTGAAGAAACCCCATAAAAATCTATTAATTGAGAATAGAATGTAATAAATATTCCTATAAAAAAAAAAGAAGAATGTAATAAATAATAGATAGATAATAGAATTAAGGACAGGGTGCGCCAACTTACATGGCATCTTAAATTACTTTTAATTTTGTTCTTTAAAAAAATTACCTTTTCTTTTTCTCAAACCAATAAAGAAAGAAAGAAACAATAGAGAGAAGGATAATCAAATCATAATCATGCATTGGGTTAGGATCCTGTTGAGTTTCATATTGTTAAAGTATGAGTTTAGCATGTGGGTTTATAACCACTTGGACACTCTCTCCCTACAAGCTAACTTTTGGGGATGAGTTCTACTCAGGGTTTATAACAATTGGTATCAGAGCATACTCCTCCTCATGCTCACATTGCGGAAGGGGCGACCTGGAAAGGCTAGAGTGGGCTATCCAGAGTGGGCCGCCGTGGACGTCGGTGTCGGAAGCTTGGTGGTATGTTAGGATTCTGGTTGAGTTTTGCATTGCTAAAGTATGGACTTAGCATGTGGATTTATAATCACTTGGGCACCATCTCCCTACAAACTAGCTTTTAGGGATGAGTTCTACCCAGGGATTATAACACATTAATGACTTGGTGTTTCTTGCTCACCAAGATGGTACCATGCTCAAACGTCAATGATTTGGCTTTATTTTTCTTTGGCTGTGAAAATTGGAAAAATGGTTTTTTTTTTTAATGAAGGTAGTAGCAATCCACACGAAAATATGTACAGAGTTTCGGGGAGGAAAGAAAGAGAAGAGATAAAGAGATTAAGGGGGGTTTAATCATCTATGTAACGTAAAATTAGCCAAAAGAAAAAATGAGTCAACAAATTCAAAAGTTAATGATAGAAACAATATTAATAACTTTTTTTTTCTTGCTGAAAATATTTAACCATTAGTCTGTTACTAAACTGCTTATACCGCCGGTTAGAGATATATGGCAGTTTATTCACCCAAACAACCCAATAATAATAATAATAATAATAATTTAGACAAGTGGTGGAATTTATGAGCTTATTTTAAGAAATGGCCGAATTAAAGAAAATTAATCTATGAGCGGAGGAGCCAAAAAATTTTCAGAGAAACATGAATTGAGCAAAAATCTTTTTCAAGTATAAAGAGCCAGAAATTATGAGGTTTTTTTTTTTTCAAAAAAATATGAGTTTTTATAGTAGTATAGTTGACTTTCACTTTCTTCAAGATTTTAATTAAGATTTTTCTTTTAATACAATACGCGATCAAAATCGCAACCTTCCCTTAAATTTCATCCTAGTCAAACTCCTGGTGCCATTAGACCAACTTGTCTTAGGCTCAAGATTTTAAGATTAAAATAGGAGTATATTTAAAAGTCATTTTTTTTTTTTTAGGAATACCTAAAATTTAAAAATTTTAAAAGTTAAAACTTAGGGCAATACCTTTTTTTTTTTTAAAAGATCCCATATATATTGTAGAAACTTCAGGGGAGGAAATTAGAAAAAAACTTGGAAAAAGTTTTAAAAATATCGATAAAACCTAATCATCTAATGATTGAGATAATAGCCTAAACCTCTCTTGCATTTTATCGAAATGTCATCTTTTACTTAATTTCATCTTTTATGTCATGAGCTTGCCCAAGAGTAGGTCCAAATCAAAATGGATTAAGCAATTCATATTTTGGCGGTAACAAACTTTTTATTGGGAATTTTTAATTAAATTTTCTCGAGTATAAAGCTTAAATTATATTAACAAAATTCTAGAAACTCGAGATAGATGACAAGGGTATAAGAAGCTTTCGAGATTCAAAACGTGAATTCGAAGATGTAAATTGAGACAACTTGGAGATTTAAGAAATCAAGAGCTTCATTTAAGAATAAAGATGAAATTCACTAGACTTAATCTTACATAGGTTTATTTCTTCTACTTATTGTATGTATGTTTAAGCATTACATAATCTTGATTCACGTACTTGGCTCAAAAAGTTAAAATCATATTAATTTAATTTTTACAAACAAAGAAATTTGGACTTAGTTTTCTCAAAGTTCATTATGAGTTTTCTATTATTCTAAAAAGACATTAATGGTTTATTTCAATTTGAAAATGTGCCGATCAAACATTGAAAAGTTTTAGATTTAGATACCAAAGCTTTAAAAGTGTTGGTAAGCTTTCAAATGTCAATCGTTTGCTAAAATATTAGTCGAATTTCATATTAAGATAGCCAAGTCTTCTAGTTTCACAATGCTTCAGGAATTGTTGAATTGCGATAAAATTTGAGTTAGTTATGACCAAAAAAGTGTAAGGTGATCAAGCAGCCAAGCCGAGATACCATCGATTTGACTGGTTGTATATCGTAGGATTGTTCAAAAAAATTGAAAAACCGACACTAATTGATGAACTAACCGCAAAAGACTAAAAAATTTGATTTCAGGTAAAAACCGATCATCTCTGTTAATTAACTAAACCGTCCAAATATCTGAACTGTTGGGTAGTTCGGTTCTTAGTTCTGATAGTGCAGGTGGTCGGTTAACCGAACCGACCGACCACCATCTTCACTTACAAAAAAAGAATACTTTGGTGCATAATAAGACTCGAACTCATGACCTAGAGAGTCTCATCCTACCACTTTACTACTAAATTGTTAGTTTTTTATTGTCATTTATGACTTACTCTCTTTTTCTTGCAATGGATCTGGAGGAAAAAGTGTTTCTAAATTTATACCGTCCACTATTTCATATATGATTACAGGCCAAATCAAAACAAAATATTTTTTCTTTCAAATAATATTTTTTAAGGCTTTACGTTTTAAAAACTTAAAAGCCGAGAAGTGGAATAAAGTGAAATCTGAAGAGTCAAGTTAGTATATTTATTATCTGTTGAAAATCGTAAATTACAGTCTGAAAGTCCAGTGAAAGATTAATTGATTAAAAAGAAAAGATGAAAGCTTTAGGCTTCGTTCGCATCGCAGATTTAAATTTTCAATTTGAGTTAACATTTTCTGAGAACTTTTAACTGTAGTAGAAAAAGTTAAATGTGATATTTTTTTGAGAACTTTTAACTCTATAAACCTAAAATTAAAAACTCGAATCGGTGAAATAAATGAGACCTTCATGGGATTTGAACCTTCGCGCCAAGTAATAAGAGGAGAACATCTACAACCACAACATCCTTGGAGAGGAATGGAAATCTCTTTCTCCAATTGCTCTATATAAGGGTGGGTTATGAGCTTATTTTAACTCGTACGCTGAGGCCTCTAATATTTTATGCTGGATGCCTTTTATTTAAAAGGGCTTCAAGCATTAGAACTTTTTTTTTCTCTAATTTAACAATCTTAAATGTTAAGGTTAGAAAAAAAAGTGATAGTATAGAACTTTTTTAATATTAAAAAAGTGATTGCTTAAGAAAAGAAATTCAGTTAAAGCTTATGGTGCAAAAGTTGTTTTGTAAGGATACTATTTGATTACTACTGGTGATCTGCGGGTTATTGTTTTCGGTAAACCGACAAAAGTTTACCACAAACGGTAACCGACCGATTTCTCTTCTTAATCAGTAGGTTTTGGGTTTTAATTTTATGGTCGGTTTAGTTTCAAAACAAATTTCGACCGATGTTCACCCCTAGACTATTAAATTATATCGGCCCGGAGTAGTTTTGTTATATGACGGTCAGTACAGGATTTTTCAATATAAATCGACTCATTTAAGGAATTTTTAAGCCTTAAGAGTGAAAGAAAAACCCTAGGCCTCGTTCACTTCACGGATTCGAGTTTTCAATTCGAGTTGAGATGTGACATTTTCTGAAAGCTTTTCACTGTAGTAGAAAAAGTTAGATGTGATATTTTCTGAGAGCTTTTTACTGTAGAAACCTAGAACTGAAAACTCGAATCGGTCAAATGAACGAAGCCTTGATGTATCTAAACTCCTCCAACAATTATTTTGTGCTTTGAGCCAAATTTACATCAAATATTTGTGTTTGCTCATTCATCTTCTAGGCTTACTTTGTATTGAACCAAACTCTAGGAGAGTTTCTTAGGAACCAAAACTTTTCATATTCCCAAATCTAGATTATAGAGGGTGAAAATCAAATTGAATGCATAATAAGACAAATGGACAGATCTAGGCATCGATTGGAGTGGCTAGTCGGTAGCCCTTGAATCGACGAAACATATGAACGAGAAAATAAGATTACGAAGAATAGGTAAAAAATATGAACACACAAATTTATATGAATATACAAATTTATAGTGATTCATGCAAGTGAAGACTACGACTATTATAGAGTCTTGGGATTTCACTACCATGTTTGAAAGGTGTAAAATTACACTTGCGAATTAGAACGGGATAGTCAGGAGAAGGAATTTTCCAGAGAAATATATAAAGTAATATATCGATTGTATGATGGGGAAAAAAAAAAGAGAATGATCTCATATTTATGGGGCTGTTGATCGGATATGCGTAACTTCCTTATCAAACTAGATTCCATCCTTTTGTCTCAATTGGAATGTTTATTTTCTATATTCGTTTTTTTATTTTGAATCATGATTTACGGTTCTTTACAGTGTTTTTTTCTCACAAAAAAACATACGTAAAATGAAAATAATTTTGAATCACGATTATGAATCCATTAATTAAACATCCACTAAATGATCGGGTCGTGCCTTTCTAGAAAGTTCGTCTTCTCCAATCGTAGGAGATGGATCTCGTGGTGCTCTAGTCGATTCGCATTTTCTAGTCAATCTCAGCCGGCGAGTTGACTGTCTTCTTGAGGTGATCCTAATCGACATATGTATGATGAAATATGGGAGACAAAAATTTGATCTCTATTCTCTAATTTACTTTGACCACGCAGCAAAAAGCTAGCATCCCCACGGAAGAACAACCTAAGCAAATCAAAGCAAGTTTGTGCTACTTACTAGACCTGCATCAGAATCAAAGCTTATCCAAAGCTAGCTACGTGACATATGTAGCTCCCATGATAAAAAGAAATTATCATAAAACTCGGTCATACGTATCAATAATGTATACGTATAATTCACCATCTTCCACATGCAGTACTTCCACGAGTCACTGTTTCCAAGCCTCCACGTGACACAAAACCCTCGGCACCTTTTCTCTCCCTTTTTGGCCACGTTATAAGTCATGACTATTCAAACTTTATCATGTTGGTGTGTGTGTGTGTGTGTGTGTGTATATATATATATATATATATATATGTATGTACATGTATATATGTATCATTAATAACCTTGCTAGAACAGTATTATACAAACTGATAAGTTTAGAAATGCAAGCGATCAAGCCTAGCCAACATTTCATGAGCATTCTAATGCTTCCATGGTTAGCTCATGGTCACGTATCACCCTACCTAGAGCTAGCCAAGAGGCTGGCGGAGAAAAATTTCCACGTCTACTTCTGCTCAACCCCGGCAAATCTCGTCTCTATCAAAACCAAAATACCTAACAAATATTCTGATCACGAAAATCACTCTCTTGGCATTATTGAACTTGTGGAGCTTCATCTTCCCGAGCTACCCGACCTTCCTCGCCATTACCACACCACAAATGGCCTCCCACCACATCTCATGCCGACTCTCAAGAAGGCCTTCGACATGTCAAGCCCGTCTTTCGAGAAAATCCTCGATGATCTCGAGCCGGAGTTGCTCATTTACGACTTTCTTCAGCCATGGGCTCCGACGCTGGCTTCTCAGAGGAACATTCCCGCGGTCGAGTTCTTGAGCTGCAGTGCGAGCATGACTTCGTTTTGTCTTCATTGGAGGAGCAAAAGAGGCGTTGAGTTTCCTTTTCCGACGATTCATTTGAAGGGTTATGAAGTTAGTGGCTTCAACAATCTGCTTGAGTCGTCGGCGAATGATGTCAAGGACAAAGATAGGGTACGGCGGTGCAGTGAACAATCTTGCACTATTGTTTTGGTGAAGTCTTTTTCTGATGTTGAAGACAAATACATCGACTATCTTTCTGTTCTGTTGGGTAAAAAGATTGTGCCGGTCGGTTCGCTTGTTGATGATGGCAAAGATTCCAACGATTTACAAGGTGATCATCATACAAATCTTACTAATCAGTAAACTAATCAGAATATTTAGTAGTAATTTTAGTGATGACATAATTGACTTTTATTCTTTTTTGTCACCATTCCTATGCTTTGAATTAAAAAAAAAAAAAAAAAAACAATAGTTGTGAGTCGGTAGCCACAGAGGTAAAGAAAAATCACAATACTTTTTGGTGATGATCGTGAAAATTTGTTACATAAACTATGGGGAGAATTCTTTAGTATAGGGTAATTTTTTTTTTTTTATATTTATATATATGTATAGAAATGTGATTTGATATTTAGGATTCGTTTGAGAAGTGTATTTGAACGATAATTTAGGTTTTTGATTAAATTTTTTATGAGAGAACTATTGACGGAAATTTCTTTAGAAGAAAAACAGTGTCGCAAAATTATGATTTGAGTTATCCTAATAAAACTAATATATAGATACATATATATAGTACTCTACAATAATAGAAGTCCCAATTATGAACAATATTGTTGTAACTAACAAAGGTTCCTTTTCTTTGTTCATCATTTTTTTGATGTAACAGATTATAATAATGTGATAAAATGGCTCGATAGCAAGGAAAAGTCTTCGGTGGTGTTTGTCTCCTTTGGAAGCGAGTATTTTCTGTCCAAAGATGAGATGAGAGAGATAGCTTATGGTTTAGAACTCAGTGGAGTGAGTTTCATTTGGGTTGTTAGATTCCCAGTGGGAGAGAAAATGAACATTGAAGAAGCCTTACCAAATGGTTTTCTCAAAAGGGTTGAAAGAAAGGGAATGATAATAGAGAAATGGGCACCCCAAAGAGAAGTTCTCAAGAGCAAAAGCATTGGCGGGTTTGTGAGCCATTGCGGTTGGAGCTCTGTAATGGAGAGCATGAAATTTGGGGTTCCTATAATAGCAATGCCAATGCATCTTGACCAGCCTATTAACGCAAGATTGGTGGAGGAGGTTGGTGTAGGTTTTGAGGTTGAGAGAGACGAGAACGGGAGGATTCAGAGTGAGGAATTGGCGAAGGCGGTTCGAAAGGTGGTGTTGGAAAAAAGCGGGGAGAGTGTGAGGAACAAGGCAGTGGAAATGGGGGAGAAAATGAGGAGGAGAGGAGATGAAGAGATGGAAGAAGTGGTGAAGGAGCTTGTGCAACTTTGTGGGAAAGAAAACTTGCAGTTCAATGTGTAGCATTAAGAGTGAGAGGCTTTGTATGAATGGTCAAATTCAATTTTTTTTTTGGTTTTGTAGATCCTTAGCATGCGTTTGATTAATATATTCATATCATGATTTAAATCATGGTTCGTAATTCGTTATAGTATTTTGTCTCATAAAAAACACGCATAAATCAAGAATGATTTTAAATCATAATTCTGAATCTATAAACTAAACGTCTAGAAATTAATTATTTAAGTAATTTGATCATATTTTGTATTAGATCTTTTGATGGACTCAAATATTAGAGCATCAAAAAGTTACTAACAAAATATATATTTATATATATCGAAATTTTCAAATAATATGACATAACATTATTAGTTGGCACTATTTAATACACCAGAAAATTGCGTTCTTTCCGAAAGAGAAAAGGGAGGAAAAAAAAAAAAAAAAAGCCCATGCGTTGTGATAACTATTGAATATTGATACAGTACACCATTGGTGTAAAGATATTACTAAAGTCAAATTGATCTTGGACTCTTATATATATATACACACACACAAAAAGATCTTGGAGGTACTCATTAATATGAGATCTACCGCCTGCACTGACTTTCGGTATAGTGTATAGAAGGTTCTTTTTGTAGTCCGTATTTTATATTAAGGTTTAAAATTTAAATTTTATCATAATAAAAAGTTCTTAAAAACAGTCACATTTAATTTTGTTATCACAGTAAAAAGTTCTCACAGTAAAAGCTCAACTCGAATCAACGAACTAAACGGGCTTAGTGTTGTCAAACGTGCCAGTATTGTTGTTTTCGTCTTCTGGCATCTTCCCAGTCTTTAACGCACATTAGTCCCTCCAAGATATCTGGATACATTCTGCTTCTCTTCTCGTCAAGAATTCGATTGCTTGCGTTGAAAGCTTGCTCCGATGCTACTGTTGACATTAGAGTTGTAAGAATGTCACGAGCTATTATGGACAGTGTTGAAAAACGATCGGTATTGCTCTTCCACCACTGTAAGATGTCTAATTTGTCGTCATCGATTACAAAATTTGCTTCAAAATATTTGACTAGTTCCGTAGACGCTTGTGTTGAGGACGATCCTGCTATTTTCTCTTTCTTCTTCAAGAAACTCCACGACGATCCTTTAGGCCCCGAACTGGTAGTTGACGACGAAGTTCCCTGTTCTTTTTTACCTGTGCTATATTTTGCTTCATACAAACTAAAAACTTTTTCTAACATTTTCTTAGTGTCAGTAATACTTAGTTGCATATCTATTTCTAAATTCTCTGCGGTAACAGTCATCAATGATTCAGTTTCATCTACTCCGCACCTAGGATCTAAAATGGTTGCCAATGCATATAACATGGGACAACCTGACCAATGACTTTTAAATTTATTTTCCATTAAGTTAGCTATATTTCTAAAAAGTTATGTATCCCTATAATAAGAAAATGTTTCTGAAATATTAAATAGTTGATGTAAAGCTAAATGTGCAGTAGGATAATAAACTCCAGAAAGTAATTCAGTACCATTGTAAAAAACTTCTAGAAATTTAAAAAAATACTCAGCAATCTGCCAATCAGGATCGAAAATTAAAATTTGATCGTTCTTACTGTTTACGTATGTCGTGATAAGCTGTGAATATGGGAGTGCTGCCTTCAACATTAAATATGTTGAATTCCACCTATGTCTCACGTCAGTTGAAAACTGTCTTGGGCGCATCTGGCTGTTCCTGCAATATTGTTTGAATTCTTGGAGCTAAGCTCCAGAACTAGATATGAATGATAATGATTCTCTAATATTTGTAAGATTAGCTGAGATATGTTCAATTCTTGCCTGAACTACTAAATTAATTATGTGACATACACACCGTTGATGAAAAATTTCCCCTCCAAATGCTGATTTCAAACTACGTTTAAACAGATTAATTACAGCTGTATTAGCTGACGCATTATTAAAAATAATTGTTAAAACTTTATCTTCTATCCCATAAAACCTAAAAATTTCCATTATTGTATTAAAAATAGCTGTTGTGTTATGAGGGTATGGACATAAACGAAAACCAATTATTCTTTTTTGTAAAACCCAATCGTCATCAACGTAGTGCGCTGTGACACATAAATATCCAGTTTTATTGCACCCCTCTCACAGATCAGAAGTGCAAGAGACAGTAGCATTAAAAGTCCTAAAATTATCAACAAGAGATTGTCTCATTGCATAAAAAACTTTCATGCAATCAGAACGAGTTGTGTTTCTACTTACCAATTTAAATTGTGGGCAAAAGGCTGTCTGAATGAATTCTTCGAACGAGACATCATCTGCAAAAGAAAGAAGCAATTTGACACTAGCTAGAAATTTAACTAGTGCCTCACGAGCATGTTGTGCATCGTATGTAAAATTTTATAACCCCTGTGATGTGAGTTATAGTGTTTGTTGACGGGAGTCCACACTCCCACCTTGGTGCAACGGTAGACATACTTTTCAATGTCTATCTAGATGACCAGTACCCCCACTCTTTTTATTAGAAAAGTACTTTTTACAATATTTACATACCGCACGAATTTTCATCTCACCTGTTTTTGGATTTGGTTGGGGCTCCTCGGTGAAATACTGCCATGCTGGAAAAGTTCGCGGTCTTTTTTCTCTGCTGCGTTCTCCAGCTTCCTCGTTGTGTACTGAAGCATTATCCACCATACCATTTTCTGGTTCAGTGGGGGTGGAGTTGGGAGGCATCATTTCATCCTCATAAAAATGCCTCATACCAAGCTCAGGAAGAGTAGTGAAATCAGGGAAATTTAAAGCGGCCATTTCTGGAAATTGATAGAACTTGATTGAACTTTGTAAATGAAAGAGCTAGAAAATGAATGAACGCGAGAGAAAAGCTTAGAATCAAAATCAAAGAGACAAGTTGAGAGATAGAATGAGAGTGAGATGAGAAGTTGAAAGTGAATTGTTGTGTGAGATTTATGGTGGAATTAAGGGGTATTTATTGGGGATTTTGGGGTGAATTTTCAGTTTTTTGCCGTTGGGCCCGCGAAGGGCCCCCTGGACCAAATGAAATGGGTTGTTTCATGGGCCGTTTCGCGGGCTTGAGCCGGGCCGAATCAGGGCTTGGGCCGGGCTAAACAAGGGCTGTGCCGTGGGCCCCTACGTGCTTGGGCCGCGGACTAAGAAGCTGAGGCCCAGCCCTAGCCCATTACATGTGCCGTGCCGGCACGGCCCGTAACAGTAGCGAACCGGGCCATGTCGAATCAGGCACTATTACGGGCTGGGCCGGGCCGTCCATGGACGGCTGGCCCATTTGACATCTCTAAACGGGCCCTAAAACTTGCTCTTACTTTATGTATCCCATGATAATAATTTTCTCCTTTTTTTTTTAAATAACCCTATATTTTGGATGTTCTCAAAATTATACTTTTGAATGTCAATTTTATATCGACTTTGTAATTTTTTTGAGTCAACAATTTATTTTGATCTTAGATTGAATAATTTAACCTCGGTAGCTTATAAATGATCTTGTAATAAAAAATAAATCAAACATAATATTTAAGAAAACAAAGAAAAATATAGAAATTGGATTTTTTAAGCTAAAAGCTAGAGAAGGTAAATTCATCGATTCAGAAGTCAAAATCAGTTATTGGCATAGGAAATGTACAAATATGCTATTGATATAAAATTCAGAGGTATAGTTTCAAGAACGTTCAAAATACATGGTCAGTTTTTTGATAAACTCAAACTACATAGTATAAAATAGTTAATATGACTTTATGAGAAGCGTATCTTAGTTCAAATACAGCAAAAAAAAATTAAAATATTTTATAAAAAAAAATTAAAATCAGCATGAATAATTACTACATAATATTTACAGAGATTTCGGAGTAAAAAGACTTTTCAGGGTTTTTTAAGCAAATGACCGAACATTTGCAAAATTAAGGAAACGATTGTTTTTTTTTTTTTTTTTATGATTAATTTGGTGGTTTATCACTCATTAATTTAGTAATTTTTAACTGTTGAATTGATTAAACAATATCAATGAGTAATTTCAATCAATAAATTACCGAAATATTAACAATAGATCATTACTAAATTGATGATAAACTGATTCGTTATTGATTGATTATTGCTGATTAACTATTGTGAAAAAAACAACAATTTCCTTAAAGATAAATAAAAAGTTCCTCTATTTATTTAAGAAATAAAAGTCTGCACATTTAATAAAAAAGATGGCCAAAAAATGATAATTTGCTTAATTTTTTCTATTATTAAAATTTTACTAATAATCCAAAAGTATTTTAAAAAGATTTTGCTATGTTTAGTTTTACAGTTGGAAATTAATCCAACAGATTTTTTTTTTTTTTTTTTTTTTTTTTCCTTCTCAGTTTCCAGTTCCTACGTTAAGCTTCGGTGATAGACATTAGATACACAGAAGGGGGCCCCAAAAAAAAAAAAAAAAAAAAAAAATGCATTACTGGGTTCGAGCTTCTTCCTCCGACTTCGGTGGAAATCTTCTCCATCCTCGCAGGCAATAATCCCATTCCCATTTCTTCTTCGTTCTTTTTTTTTTTTTTTTTTTTGTTTTCTCCTTTTTCCGTCAGATTTTGTTCAGTTCTATCATCACTATATATCCTGTGTTTGAATTCGTTGTAATACACAGTGGTCACACTGCCGTGAATATCGGGAAATCGAAGGTCGTCGTCTTCGGCGGCTTCTTTGACAAGAAGTTTCTCAGCGACATCGTCGTCTATGATATAGGTACTCCTATTTTCCTCCACATACATATATATATATATATATATATATATATATACATAATATAAATATATGTATATATTTAGTTTCTTATTCAATTTTGCCCTGATATGCACTTTTGATTGGCATTGTTCATCTAGGTCTCTTTGAGTTTGTTGAATTTTTAGGTCTCTTTGAGTTTGTTGAATTTTTTGGTAGTCGAGATCAACTCGATAGATTTTGGAAACATGACCGCTTTCAAGAGCATATTTATGCATTTGCTCATGATCATGGTTTAAATGGACAGATTTTGTTGGAAAATGTGGGTTGTGACAATCAATCTAGGTTACTAATCATAAAACGTTTAATTTCTCGAATGTATCAACGTAATCATTTTATTATGTTTGCTAGTGATTCAAACCAAAACCAGGTTTTTTGGATGCAATTAGAATTGTATTCTCAAACCACAGTCATTTGGAGATTCCATTTTTGCTATGATTAGTATCTTCCTTAAAGGGGACAAAAATTGTAAAATATTGTAGTTTACAATAAATTGACTCAATATTTCCTTGTGTATCAATATCACTTACAATATTACTCTAATAATACCATTACTTATAATTTGTTTAGCTATTTTTTAATACAATGTTAGTTTCTCGTTTCTTTTTCAAGGAAGAAAAGAAAATACAATGCCAATTGTTCTCAGGATTTGAGCATGGGTTCTTCCCCTTAACCCACCCCACCCTTAACAACTGGGCTAGTACCTGTTGGCTACTAATTAAAAAAATGATACAAATTGATTGTTTCTAAATATAAGAAGTATTAAATCAAATGTGTTTATTTATTGCATTACCCACTTAACAACTTAATATGAGTTTAGTTGTTTTCTTCTGAACTAAATGATGGCACATCTAGAGTTCTAAAACTTATGTTGTATAAGGGCTTCATCTTCTGCTAGAAACTCAAATCTGGTTTCAGGTGATTTAGTATTGTGGTTAATATTAGTATCTAGATAATGTCTCAGTCAAGGATTTTGGCCATATATTTCATAATATTTCTGAGAGTCTTCGATTGTTTTGTTTTTGGTTTTAGCGGATATAAATTAGCTTCATTAGTAAATGGGAGAATTCATGGGTTTTAAATATGTTCTTGGATTTCACTTTTGTCTCTCAAATGCTTTTCGCTTTAAGTATGAATTGGAACAATCTCTTTTTTTTTTATTTTTTTTTTATTTTATAAATTTGATCAGAGAAGAAAGAATGGTTTCAGCCAGAGTGCACAGGCAGTGGCTCCGATGGACAAGTAGGTCCAGGTCCACGTGCATTTCACATTGCCGTTGCAATTGATTGTCATATGTTCATTTTTGGTGGGCGTTTAGGTAGCAATAGGTATGTCCATCACCACTATCTTCTGTTTAGACGTTATGATCCCTATCCTCATATACATTTTTATACAAGTGGTGATAATGTCGATATTGGATGTTCAGGTTGGGAGATTTTTGGGTCTTAGATACTGGTAAGAATAGATTAACTAAACAATGAAAAAGCTATTAGTGTTTACAGTTTGGCTTAAATCTTTTGAACGTCAAGGATCAATTGAGTTTGTCTGTGTTACAGATATATGGCAATGGTCAGAGTTGACCAGTTTCGGTGACTTGCCATCACCACGGGACTTTGCAGCAGCTTCTGCTATTGCTAATAGGAAAATTGTTATGTGAGTATGGTGCATAACATCTTTCTGCTGGCCATCTGTTGTTGGGTTTTCTATTATGTATTTTAGTGAATGAAATTTAATTTTAATGCAGGTATGGTGGCTGGGATGGGAAGAAGTGGCTGTCAGATGTGTATGTCTTGGACACAAGTAATTCTTCTCTATCTCTGTAGATGCATTTGGACGTAAATAACGAGTCATCAATCTCGTGATGATAGGTCTTAAATTAGTTTATACGTATATCTTCTTCCTTGAACAGTATCACTTGAATGGACGGAGCTGCCTGTTACTGGATCATTACCACCGCCTAGATGTGGTCATACAGCCACCATGGTCGAGAAACGATTACTGGTTTATGGTGGCAGAGGTGAAGTTGCACACTACTATGCTTGAGTAATTCCATCATACAAGTACTTACATAATACAAATTGATAGGACTTTTGGGTTTCCTAAACTTTTTTTTTTTTGTTTGCTTGACATGGCTTGTCTTATTGTGGTAGGAGGTGGAGGTCCAATCATGGGTGATTTATGGGCATTGAAGGGTCTTATTGAAGAAGGTTAATTGGAAAACTCCTTAATTTTTATGTCTTTTGTTTGTCAGTATCTCATATAAGGTGCTTTATTTTTATTATCAACTTGTTGAACATGAGTTTTCGTTCCGATAAATGCTGCTTTACATCACCTCCCACATATCTATCTTTCCAATAAGATTACTTCACTTTGGTCTACTTTCTTCCATCATGACTCTTTTTCTATATAATCTAACTTAAATAGTGCTAGATTTACATATGCAATTCTAAAGAAAGATACTTAAATTTTCTTTATGCTAGCATACTTTTGTGATTCAACTAAGTTAAGTTTTTGTTCGGGCTTTGTTGTGGAAGGAAGAGAATGAAACACCTGCATGGACACAGCTTAAGCTTCCTGGACAAGCCCCTTCTCCTCGTTGTGGACACACAGTTACATTTGGAGGGCATATTGTAATTGACTCTTACAAGATCCCCCTACTATTATTATTATTTTTTATCTTGCAATTCTTTTGTTCATAGTTTAGATTTGTGTATGTTAGGTAAATGGAAACCTTGGTAAATTTGTAACTTTGAATGGGTTGTGAAAAGTAATCCTCAGGCCTGGAAAAAAAAAATAGAAAGACTTGGATCCTTATATTGGTATGTAAAACCATTTGTAGCAACAGTATCCTGCTCTTTGGATTGTGGTAGGTATGTGACTATACCTATTTTAGGTCCAGCCTTAAATTAGAAGAGAAGTGAACAAAAAGGAGTATTTCAGTCAGAGCAAAAATGGTGTACAACTATTAAAGTAAGAGGTTTGAATTGTTATAGAATGATGAGCCACTTATTAAAATTGTCTCTCACACTTAATAAGAGAGAGGAATAAAGTCATTCTAAAAGCTATCATTATTACTTTAAAGAAACTTTTTGGTCATGATAAGGTTGCGTCATTGCGAGGACATATTTATGGTGGTAAAAATGAGATCATAATACTGAATTCTTCTGCCCCAGAGTGCTTTCCCTTGTTCTTGTACTTTATCAAAATCTGACTGATACTTCTTGCAGCTGCTGTTATTTGGAGGACATGGGACTGGTGGTTGGTTGAGTCGGTACGACATTTATTACAATGACTGTATTGTTTTAGACAGGGGTGAGTGCATATTTTAGAACTTAAGAGAAATTTTAGATGGTGTGTGTCATTACAGTTATGAAGAGAACTTTTTAACTCTTAACTTTAATATATATGGAATACATAAGTGACGAATCTAGGACACACGTATCCATATGTTGTAATGAAAAGCACATTGCTAAAGAAGGATAGGGTTGAAGGGAAATGAGGCCCTGTGACATGTATTTTGACACGTCGAAGTGAATGATCCCCTAATCGGTAAAAGACGCGGAAGGTGCTCATATCATTTAGTGATCAGTGCTTGAGAGTGTACAACTTTGAACAATTTAAACCAAAGAGATACTTTGATTAATGTTATCTACTTTTTTCAGTCTCTCCCTGTTTCTTATCATCCTTTTTCTTTTTTGTCCATTCAGTGTCTGCACAGTGGAAGCGCTTACCTATTGGAAACGAACCTCCTGCTGCTCGAGCATACCATTCTCTGACTTCCATAGGTTCATGTTATCTGTTATTTGGTGGCTTTGACGGGAAAACAACATTTGGTGATCTATGGTGGTTGGTTCCTGAAGGTAATCTAATATTTGGTTTACTTTCTGTTGATGCTTCTGGAGTATGTTTTTTGTGGATTTGTCCTACATGAAGTAATATGCCTTGGCTTTTGTTCATGTGATAAGAGAAGTCTGGTGAGGTTTGGTTGCTTGTTAGGTTGAGATCTGTGGAAGTGAAGAAATTTTGAAGCTACTCAGAAACCTTTGTTGTCTTGGATCCTCTTGGTGATTCCATGATCGGAGAATTTCTAAACTCTCCATGTAGAATGAAAGAGAGAATTATTTAAAGAAAGAAGCTTAGAAAGGAATTTGACTTCAATGAATGAGGGGAAAATTCTGCATCACTTTGATCCTTCAAAAACCTTTGTGACTTAGTTTAGAACCTCTTGCTGATGCTACGATTCCTCAACCATCTATACCTTGTCAATGGAAGAGAGAGATTTGAAAGGAAGTAGGTAGAAAATTGTTTTAATGGGTGCATAGAATCTCAAGTAAAAGAACGAAATAGTTGAGGCATTGTTCTGCTTAGTTGGAGATGGTCAAGAAGCCTGGTATTTGTTTGACTGCAGGGGGAAGTATTTTTTTTTCTTTTTTCTCTCCCAAGTTTCGGAGACAGTGGAGTCTAAGCAAGGTTTTAAAAGGCGGAATCCGGCCTCGAGGCGCTTTGTTTTTACGAGGCAAGGCGTAAGCCTCAAAAAATGCCTATAAAAAATTTAGAAAAAAATATAATACTAACAAAAACTAAATCCATTCTTAATAATCATATAAAAACAAGAAATTTAACCAAACATCCACATAAAGAGAGGTCTGTTTCACTACTACAAGCGTAAAAAAGACTAAATCAAATCCTAATATCATAAGGTTAATAATGCACTTCTAAAAGTCTAATCTCCCAAGTCACCAATCATCATCACTACTAAGAGAAGAAGAAGAGTCTTTGCCCGTGCAAGGAGGAAGAAGGAGGAGGAGAGACGGCTGTGCAAGTGGCTGGCTGCTTCTTTTGTTATTAGGGTTTTTTCTTAGTCATTAAAGGCGTGGGTACTTTGGGCTTTTTAAAACTTTTGGGCTAGCATGTTAAAATAGCCCACCAGAGGACCCTTTGCAAAGAGGCAGACGCCTCACTAACCGCCTGAGGCGCCGCTCAAAGGCGTGCGCCTCAAGTGGCTGAGGCGCACGCCTTAAGTGGCTGAGGCGCACGCCTCAACACCTACCCTGTAAGGTGTAGGAGTTGATGCGCTTTTCCAGCGCCTCGCCATGAGGCGAGCCTCAAGGCGTGCGCCTTTGGCGCTTTTTAAAACCATGAGTCTAAGTGAGGTGCTTTAACCAATGACTTCATCAATGTTCATTTTTGTTGTTGCTATTATTATTATTATTATTATTATTTTATTATTATTATTTTTTTGTAAAATAGACGACCCTATTGCAAAGAGATGGACAACATCACCAAATGATGTTTCTCAAGATATGGATGCAGCAACTGGAAATTATGATGTATCATCTAGAGTGAGGGTCAGTGCCTATCATGACATGTGATTTCGTATTTTACATGTAACCAATGAGTATGCTGCTTCATGTCAGCTTATAGTTGCTTCTATTTGACTGAGATCTCAGTGAGATGTATTTAAATGAATGAGTATTTTGTTGCGATCATTTCCAGAAGTATATCATTCGTGCATGACCTGAAAATCTGGTTTCTTGAATTCTATGGGTGATAGTGATCAATCATGTGGTTAATGTATATGTTTTTAATAATTTGTTACTGAGGACAGAAACCCATCTTTTGGTTATGGCATTTTCTCACTATATTTGTCTTTGATATTCTTGGATCTTTATTATGTGATTTTACTTCAAAACTGGCCAACATAAATTCAGTGTTGGGAAGTTTGTTACCTGATAGGAACAAGTTTTCCGTGTTGGGATTCTCTCAATGTTCTTAATCCACGGATGAGTGTGTGTGTGTGTGTCTTTCTTATTTTCACTTTATTGTGTAATGATAAGACAGTATGCTTACTTAAACTTTTAGGCTTTTCTTATCGAACCTTGTACTCTTTAACAGGAAAGCCAACAAGAACAATCTGCTGTCTCAGAATTACAGAAAAAGTTAGGGCTTTCAGTTTCACTTTCTGGTAATAGATCTCCAATTGTGGATGAATTAGAAGATAAAGAATTTATAGAACTAGCGTCCAGTTTGATTGGAGAAAAAATTTCTGGCAATGTACAGCTTTCACATATTCAGGTATTTTTGGAACTTTTAGCAATGCATTGTTCTAGCCACCCACAATATATTTTCCAAGCATTGTCTTCTCTATGGCTAAAAAATAAGGCAACACAGATACTACGTGACCACTGGAGAAACACCACACCAAGTTTGGTACGACTTAAAGAGCTAGGGCCCCTTCTTCGTGACTACCAGCGACTTATTACTCGTCATCACTTGTAAGAACAGCATTTCACACCCCTTAAATCTATATGCTTAATTTATGTAATGTGAGATTACTATGGTTGTTTCCAGAAGGGGAGACTAATTTTCTCTATTTGGCATTAAAACTGTTTTACAATCACAGGCCAAACGGTGCATCACATATGCAGTCCTCGGCGTTCAGTATTCCTGGAAAAGATGCTTATCATTTCTATCATGTTAGAAATGCTCATCAGGTAAACGTCTTGTGAGGCTATGTAAATGCTCTCTGTTTTTTGGACGATTTATCTAATCATATTCCGACTCCAAGGACATTTTCATCCATCCTTGCATATAAAGAACAAGCTCCTTTCCTGTGGAACCCAAACAAAAAAAAAAACCCACCAGAGGCATGTTGCGTCTTGTGCACGTTTACACAATTACTACTAGTTATTAGTTTGTAACATTTAGTGCTACTCAAAGTAAATAATTTAGTGGTTCTATGAGATTGTTGGGTCAGCATAAACGTTCAAGTGCAACCATTTGCCTATTTTGAGGCACTTAGAAAAGCTTTCCTTCTAGTTATTTTCTGTTTATTTTGCTGTACGTGAATGTAACCGTCTATATAATCCTGTTAAGCCTATATACTTGTATTGCATCTTCTGATATTCTATCTTTTGCTTCTATTTTCACCTTGCTGATCGCTGTTTCGATCGTTTTCAGTTGCGCATGAATGATATACCAAAGCTGCTGGCAGAGTACAAACAGCTACCGTCTGATTAAAGGAGAGAGAGAGAGAGAGAGAGAGAGAGAGAGAGAGAGAGATAGCAAGAGAGAGAGAGATAGATAGATAGATAGATAGATAGCAACTAAGTTGTCGCTTAAGCTTGCTTTAGTTTCTCACAAAGAACATGCACATTATCAATGCGTAGATGGTTGATCTCCATTTCTATTTAACGGCCTTTGTGGCCTTTTTTGTAGCTACCTTGCCACTATGGCTTTTACAGATCTTTTGTCTATTAATATATATATATACATTTTTCTTTTAAAAAAGTGGCAATACAAGGGATTCCAAGTTTCATTGCATCAATCTGAAATAACATTTCCAACAGATTTTGGCATTGAGTAACAATAATTTATATGTTTGATCTTCAAAGCTTGATGCTTGTAGTGCATATTTCTTATGTAGTTTTTTCGCACCCACTATTTGTCACTCTTAGTGCTACTTTGGTTATCAGGGTGTGTTTGCTTAGGCTAGGGAAAAAATGAAATACCACTAAGATGGTAAAAAATATTTGGATTAATTATAAAAGTTTCCTTTTGAACTACGCCCTTTGTAATAATTTGTCTCATGAATTTAAAACGTAACATCTATTCTCCTTAATAATGAAATGTTAATAAAAAAGCACTATCTGTTAGGTTTTTAACGAGAATTGACATGTAATTTTTGAGTATTTTAGTAACTCTATGGTTTAATATTTAGTTTGAATTTAAAACTAATTCAAATTTAAACTTTTAATTGTGAAACATTCATTATTAATTGAATGTAAGTTAAAAATTTATGAGTATTTTTTTGTAAAATAAAAAAATTTATGCAGATTTGTTAATATTTAAATTAATTTTAAATTCAAATTAAGGTTTAAACCATAGAATTACAAAAAATACTCTCAAAATAACTTATTAAATGACAATTTCTGTTAAAAACCTAACAGAAGGGGGTTTTTTGTTGTTGTTAATATCTCATTGTTCATGGGGAATGAATGTTACGTTTTAAAATTCGAGAAGCAAAGTGTTACGAGGGGTATAGTTCAAGAAGAATTTTTATAATTAATCTAAAATATTATTTATATAACTTCACTAAAAAAAAATTAATAATTGTTATTCAACTAATAAAAAAATAAAATACCACAATGACACTTGATCATTTAGAATGACATAAATAATAAATTTGCATAAAATTATGGCAAATCATATACTTTTCTCTTTAAGGGTAAAAGATTCTAAAACTGTCTGTTACTTAGTCCAACTACATTCCACATCAGTGTTGGGAATTTATCTTATTGGAAGCATAATCAGAATGTTTTCAAGAAGTACAACAATATTTAATCAACTTTTAATCTCATAACATTGGCGTTAATAAGCATTTTTCTTCAAAAAAAATTGTACTGGTAGCCTTTTTTAACTACTTTTTTCATAAATGGTTGATTTTTTTTTTATTTTATGAAAATGACCATTTTGTTTATATGAGTCAATCAATGATTGAGTTATGAACCACATTCAATCAGTGATTGATTCACAGTCAATCATGATTGACTGATTCATTATTAATTTATCAATAGTTTATCCTTAATAAATATGTAATTTGTTGATTGAAATTAATTAATTACTAATTAATTTTGATTAATTATTAACTAATTTTGATTAATAATAAAGAATAATCGAGTTAATCAATAATAAACTATAGTCAATCATGATTGACCGTTCCCGTTTGGTTCATGGATTAGAACTATGATATTAGAACTATTTTTTATTTACGTGTATTTTTTGTGAGAGAAAATACTGTAGCGAATCATGAACCATGATTCGAATCAGAGAACGAATCCTCCAACCAAACGGGCTTTTGATTGACCATTAAATTAATAAAAACAACTATTTTTATAATTTTACGATGATTCGTGTCATAGTTCGAATCATAATTCGTAACTCGTTACAGTATTTTTTTCATAAAAAATACACGTAAATCGAAAATAATTTTGAATCATGGTTAATCACCTTATAAATTTGGTTCATAAAGTTATCTTTATTGTAAATATTACCGGATATATTTTTAAAAATGACCTATTTGCTGTAATTTCATGGTACCGAAACTGCTTTGATAACTTTCATGGTAAACTAATCTTTCAAGGATGATATGTTAAAGGCTTCACATTTGGTTGACATAATCTAGTTCTTGAACAAAACAAGAACTTTGACGTGAAACGTTTAACTTTTAGAGGACGTTTGGTTGATGGATTCAAAATTATAATTCAGAATCATTTTCAATTTACATATATTTTTTGTGAGAAAAAATACTATAGTGAGCCATGAACCATGATACGAATCATTGAACCAAACGCATTCGGATGGTTTGGAGAATTTACAAGAGAGCTGCAACAATATACTGTGAAATGATTGAAGAATTTTTCTAGCATTGAAATCTGGCAATCCCGAAATTTGCTTTGGTAAAGTATGTCCAATATTTAAAGAGCAAGAAAATCTTCTCCATACATCCAAATTGTTATTTGAAAACGGCATAATTAAAATATTCCTAAATAAACACACAAATCAAATAAGTAAAATTAGCACATGTATTTATCTCAGTGCGGTTTTTCTATGTGCTTGCTTAGCCCCTCTAGCTTTTGCATCCTCATTCTTTCACTCTCAGTCATCAGCTGGTAATAAGAAGACTTCATTTAGACAATGAAAAAGGACATAAAGATATAATAATAATAATGACACAAAAGAAGAAATCTATATCAAAAGAATAATCGATTTCCATTATAAGGAAATCAGGATAATTTCTCCAAGAAAAAAAAAAAAAAAAGGTAGACTTGGGATAAAAAGATTCTTTAGAGAAATTTTAGGCAGAATTTACCTCCATTAATGTGGTGACAAGTTGAGCTTTCTCTTTGCTCTTTTCATTGAACAATTCCAGTGCCTCTTTGTATTCTTTTTCCTGTCTCAAATAAATTAGCATGAATTAAAAATAATCCTTAGTTTGTTTCTTTTCTCCATGCTTTCTGTGGTTCTAAATCACAATTATAGCAATATCAAACCACATAAAATATTGTTATTACCAAAGAAAACAAATATATATATATATATATATATATATATATATATTATACACACACAAAATGTTGTTGCACCTTCTTCATGCAGCTTTGTCCCAGCGGCTTTAGCTCTCGATTCGCCATGTCGACTCTCTTCCTCACATTTGCAACTTCCTTCCTCAATGGATCTGCCATTTCTTCAAGTTCCTGAAAGATTAAAAGCTTTTCTTCATAGCAGTTTCACAAAGTATTGCATGGTCCACATATTTTAGCCATTATAAATTCAAGAATACCCAAAAAATTTTGATAATTCTTAATGAAATTTTATCTCTACTAATATTTCATAGTTTGATCAGATTTTCAGTCTTCTTTCTGGGTGTCAACTTTGTTGGGACGTAGAAAACTAACCTTTTTAATGCGTAATGTTATCTATTTCACTATATACATAAAAAAAAATTCAACATTAAGCAATTGTTTGGAGTCAAGTTTCTACCAAAAAAGAATGTCGAATCCACATATTATTTTGAGAGTGCTATTAGAAATCGAGCCAAAGAAAAACCAAAATAGCAATGAAGCAAATAAAATAATAATAATAATAATAACATACTTCCCAAATTTGAGCTAAACGCCTAGTTTCTTCTTCAGCTCGGCCTAATTGAAGCTCAACCTTCTCCTTCACTTCCATTTTAATCCTCTCAATCTCTTCCTCTCTTGCTTGAAAACTTGATATGGCCAATCTTGATACCTCTTGATTATCATGATCCTCTTGATTGATCTGATATTCCTGATCCGTTGATAGCCTCCCACTACTTGTGTTTCCAACACTCCCAAAGTTTTTCATTTTTTGCATTATTATTACTATTATTATTATTTTTTCCTCTCAATACTTCTCTCTCTCCAACATTCTTTCCTTATTCTTCTCCTTCTTATCTCCTCCTCTTCTGTGTTGCTTTTGCTTCACTATTTGGTATATGGTTTTGGAAAGCAAAACCCCAAGTAAGCAAAAGAAGTTATGTTTTAGTTTAAGGCCCCATATAACTACTATACTTATATGTAATATTATGCCTATATTAAGCGTTTTAATTTTTGCAGGTCAGAAATCTACTTTGTTTTGTCCATCATTATAACTTACTACTTTAATGAAAACTAAAGATCTCTATATGGTCCTGTTTTGTTAGTACTATTTCTTTTTCACCGGAAATTAGTTGAATTGTCAGTTTTGCCATGTGGGAGTAGTAGAAACCGAATAAAGATTTCCCAAAACATTTGCTTGAAGCAAGAGGAAATGTACCAACAGTTACCAGAAAAATGTTTTTTTAGTTTTCTTTTCTTTTCTTTTCTTTTTTTCATCTGATCATCTCTCTGGCTAAAGGTAAAAAAAAAAAAAAAAAAAAAGCATATAAAGATTGGCTAAAAAAAAAAAAAAAAAAAAAAAAAAAGCATATAAAGATTAAAAAATTACAGGTGTACCCGACGTAATTTTAAAAATAAAAAATATTTTTACATGACATGTAAATCTTGTACAAAATAAATTTGTATAAATTAAAGTAAGATACGCTTGAACTGATGATTTTATTTATATCACTGAATGACCAATCGAGCTAATTTTTTTTTTTTAGTAATATAAATTCTGAAAATAAATTTTTTTTAGCTTTGTTTTTTGTACATCAGACTGGTCCCAGCTTCTTTTTTACAAAATTCTACTATTAAGGAATTTAATCATCTTTCTTACCGTATAACTCTTCTCTTAAGACATTACATCATTCATGAATTGAATCAAGTAAAAAAGGCATTCATGTACGCATGGAGGTTTGTTTCATATATTCGTTCCTAATTCTGAATCATGATTCATAGTTCTCTACAGTATTTTACTCTCATAAAAAACACACATAAAACGAGAATGATTCTGAATCATGATTCTGAATACATGAACCAAACGTCCACTTACTACCGTGCACATTATTATCTTTTAATCAAATCAAGAAAATACTTGAATAGTAATTTTTAGGATTTTATTCCAGCAATTCTTTCTTCCATCAATTATTCAATTCTATGAATATATAACTCTTAGAAGTTGTTGTATAGTTTACCCCAGAGCAATATTGTCAAGATGGCTTTTTAGTATTTGTTATTTATCGCCATAGATAATACATCACCATATGTAGAGGTACGTAAAAAGTATAATTATATAACGATGACTTTGATGCATTGCTGTGGTGACCGAAATTCTAGTGATCACTAGTAATTATAAATAGTATTTTCTGACCTTTCTTTAGCAATTTTTTCTTACTTTTGTTAGCTTCCTTTTATTATTATTTCTAATCATCGTATCATGATGAAAACGCAGTACAAGCAATAGTAATATACAAACGTGAAAAGTCTAAAAAAGAAATGTGAAAAATCTAATAAAAATTTGTTAATTTAGGGTCTGTTCACCTCGTTGATTCGAGTTTATAATTCGAGTTGAGATGTGACTTTATGTGAGAGCTTTTTATTATAGTAAAAAAATTAGATGTGATTATTTCTGAGAGCTTTTTACTGTAACAAAACTCAAATTCTAAATTCAAATTGGTGAAATGAACGAGGCTTTAGAATACTCTGTTATATTTATCACCCTATATTTGAAATTTATCTTTTTTACTGAGCATTTAATATTTTTCTTCCTTAAACAAGACATTAAAAAAAAGGCCGTGGTCTATTTGTCCATGTTTAATTATTATAATAAAGTTTGTGGTCTCCCCACTTTTTAGTTGTCATTTTATCAGAGAAAGTTACTTTTATTATAGTTTTGACTTTTATTGTTAGAAAGTTTCTTTATTTTATTTTTGGGTAACTTACCCAACTTATGTATTTATAACGTCTATTTATCGTAATGCTCATTATTTTAGTGAAGTCTTCCTCTTTTTCTAGTCCGTGGAAGTAAGGCATCTTGTCTAACCATATTAAATCTTTTTTTTCTTTTTTTCTTCTTTTTATTTTCTTATTTGATTATTGTATAATATTAGAGTTTCATATTCTAACGAGTTTCTGATCTTTCATGTCTAAGGCTTCTATTTTTCTCCTTTTCTTTAATATAGCAATAGTAATATACAAACGTGAAAAGTCTAAAAAAAATGTGAAAAATCTAATAAAAATTTGTTAATTTAGAATACTCTGTTATATTTATCACCCTATATTTGAAATTTATCTTTTTTACTGAGCATTTAATATTTTTCTTCCTTAAACAAAACATTAAAAAAAAAGTCGTGGTCTATTTGTCTATTTGTTCATGTTTTATTATAATAAAAATTGTGGTCTCCCCACTTTTTGGTTGTCATTTTATCAGAGAAACTTACTTTTATTATAGTTTTGACTTTTATTTTTAGAAAGTTTCTTTATTTTATTCTTGGGTAACTTACCCAACTTATGTATTTGTAACATCTATTTATATGAAGTCTCATTCGTAATGCTCATTACTAGTGAAGTCTCCCTCTTTAATTTTCTAGTCAGTAGAAGTAAGGCATCTTGTCTAACCATATATGTTTGGTAGAGGGATTCGTTTCCTGATTCGAATCATGATTCGTGGTTCGCTACAGTATTTTTTCTCACAAAATATTCACGTAAATCGAAAATAATTTGAATCACATGGTTTGAATTCTTCCTTTTATTTTCTTATTTGATAATTATATAATATTAGAGTTTCATACGAGTTTTGATCTTTTTGATCTTTCTGTAATATAGTCGATTTTTGTCCCTATGCAACTATTTTTATATCTTTATTTTCTTAGAAAAAAAAAAGTATTCCAAGGTTGGAATCTCTAATGGAGCTCCTTCTTGGGCGGACATATTAGTGAAAGTTACTTTTATTATAGTTATGACTTTTATTTTTAAATCCGTGAAAATAGATATTTTACCGAACCACGTTAATTTTTTTTATCTTCTACGATTGTTTTTCTTTTCTTATTTAATTATTATAGGTTGTATCTCCAACCCGTGAGAGTTAACTCTAGTGTGGATAATGACCTTTGTGCTATAATGTCGTGACTCTTAATCCATTATTTCTATCTTGGTTTGAATGAAATTTCCCTTAAAAACGATTTATAACACAAATCTTCATCAGAGATTAGAAAAAGTCTAACTAACAAGAGTGGTACATGCTAGTTCAGCTATTTATCTAGCTAGAGGAAAAAAAAAAAACCAAAACTATTAACTACGTTAGTTAATGGGAAAATTGATCACTCCCTATTTAAAATAAATAATTTTTCTTAATTACATAGTTATATTTCTTTCTTTTTCCTTTTAAATTTGTCCTGTTTACAAAAACAACAACTCGTTCGAATTTGGTGATTCAACCTCATTTCTATGTTTTTTGACGAGTTGACTCCAAATTCCAAATAATAAAAAGCCTAAATCAAAATCAAAACAAAGCAAAACCGAAAATAGTAGAAAATATAGATAAAATGAGTTTAAACAACATTGTTAAAAGATTTCACGATGTTTAAAAAACTGGCATGAAATCGAGAATAGCATAACTCCTTAAATTTAATTAAAATATATAGCTGCGAAGTTGTTTTATGTAGTAATTTTTAAATGAGCCACTCTAATCACATTCTTTATTTTAACTAAATATAGAATATTTTAATATTAATAGAATTTAAAATATAAATTAATAACTCTATTGAATTTAAAAAGAAACCCTTGCATTTATTATTGTTTGAAAGAATAAAATAATAAGAAAAATAAAATGGCAAGTCTCTTCTTGCTAATTATATTTAGCTACTATGAAATGCATTCTCCAAAATAGCTAACCTGTTTAGCTAGTGATTTGAGTGGAGCAAAGCCAAAAGAAAAGTTAAATTATTTGTCATTTTAATTAAAAACATAAAATGGCTAGCGTGGTTAGAGATGTTCTAAGTATTCACATTCAACGATGATTTTTAATTGTCTAATGCATTTGTTGGCATGATGGTTTTCACAAATAACAACAACAACAAGAATAATAATAATAATAGTAGTTCTATTCACACTTTCTTCTTGATTCTATTTACAACAACAATAAGAATAATAATAATAATGGTAGTTCTATTCACACTTTCTCCTTGGTTCTATTCACAACAACAACAACAATAATAATAATGGTAGTTCTAATCACACTTTCTCCTTTTTTAACTCTTCACACCTTTTTTTCTAACTATAAATTACATATAATTTTTAAATGATTAAATTTACTTTTTACATACTGTTAATATTTCAAATTTACCCTTAACTATTTCCACAAGATTGTCTATTAAATATTGATCACCTTATTTTTCTTTTCAAACTGGCTGTTTTAATTTGTTGCTTTAATTCTAACAACTTTTTTCATCTGTCTATTTTTTATCGCAAGTTTTGGGCATGAAGTCTTTTTCCCATACATAAAGAAAATTTACTATCATATTTTTTAGATAAATAAAGTACATATCTAATTTGATAAGTAGAATCCTTTTACGTAGGTTAAAATTAATAAATATGCGCAAAATCATTTTGAATTGTCTTGTACTAAAAGTATCCTCTCTTTCTAAACAATATCGTATATAAAAAAGCATCCAAATCACATGAGAAAACAAAGAAAAAGGAAAAATAACTAATTGAAAAATAAAAAAGCAAAACAACTTTAAAATAAATAGAATTAAATACAAACAACCACGAAAACAATGGAATTATATAATATCAATTGATATACGCCCAGAAAAGATAAAATGCAAAAAGAAAATGCAAATCTAGTACAAAAACCTATGAGTAAAAAAAAAAATTATTTCAACTTTATGAAAAATGAAAAAAAAAAAAATGGAAACGTTAGTAAAAAAAATACATAAATATGAAATGAAAAAAGGGCAAAAAAACAATCCTCGTACATCAAATAGAAAAGATGTGGGGTGTGTCTTTGTGTGGGGAGGAAACAAAGGCTATTGGTTTTGTAGATATATACGTGTGTGTGTGTGATTATGCCTCTCATGCTTACCTTTCATGACGTTAATGCATATGTTTTGCGCACCACACAACTTAAAATTATTATCGCATTGGCCCATATAAACCGACCCATAGTGATCACAAAAGAAGATTTCATTTATTTGCAAACCGTAGCATTTCCTTTCATGTCATTTTCATTTGACAAATCATGTAAATGGGCCCTGAAGTTCTTTAAATTCAATTTTATTTCTCTGACTTTTAAAAATTCTCATAATTGATCCTTAATTTATTACTCTATTTCAATTTCGGTCATTCCATTAATTAGGGACTAAAATTTAAAAAAAAAAATTGTGAAAATTAACTTTTAATTTTTTTATTGTTTTAGTTTCTAAACTTTAGGTGTTTCTAATTTTAATACTTAATTTTTATACATACTGTTAAATAATTAACGACTAGTTAATGAAAGGACCGAAACTATATTGAGTGAGGAAGCTTGACTTTGAATGAGAGTTTTAGTAAATGAAAAAAAAAAAAAAGCATTAACTTAGCTAAACACTAGATCTCCTTCATGTACTTATATACCTGCATATAACGTACTTATATACGTGCTTCTCTATCAATCACACATACTATATATATGTCTAGTGTTTAGGCTTATATATAAATAATTATGTAAGGTTAAGTCCATTTAATTTAAAAGTGATATGTTAAAGTTTGGATAAATTTAAGATGCTGGTATAATATAGGGTCTCCCTCTCCAGCGGGATCAAAAAAGGTTGTATTAAAGTTTCGATCTGTTAAATAACATGGTAATTTTCCCTGCCAGTACCGGAAGTGATAATAAAAGTAGGAAAGCCGTCACTATAACAGACCACACAAATAGGGGTAATCTATGCATAGTCATTCCAGGTCCACGCATGTTGAAGATAGTTGTTATAAAATTGATAGAACCTAAAATGAATGAAACACCAAATAGATGAAGACTAAAAATTGCTAAATTAACTGATTGTGAGTCTTTAATGTGTAGAGACTTAAAGATAATTTTTATTTTTATGATAGACTAAAATAGAAATACTAAAAGATAACAAAGAAATTATTTATATATAATTGTTATGGTCCTCAAATCGCACGTGATATTCTATTCTTTCTGACATCCCATCATCATAGAGAGCAGTGAGAAAGCTAAAGAATTTTTGAGAAAACGTGTTGATCTGGAAGACAAACTGCACGGCTCTAGAAAGTAATTTATCATCATGGATTCAGATACACTTCCGTTTATTGGTCTATTGATTCTTGGTGATCCAACATGAACGTTCTTGAATTTTATTGGGTGATAGTTTTCATTAAAAGATATTTTCTAATATCTAGATATAATGTATATATGTGTGTCTATATATATATATATATATATATATATATATATATATATATATATATATATATATATTTGTATATAAATATACATGCAGGTAAATACTTCTCTTCTTCGCCTTTCTCTCATCAAATTTCAATCAAAATGGACATTCTAAACACCATCATCATCCTCTTCTCAACTCTATTAATCCCTCTCCTCCTAATTTTGTCCTTCGTAGCCCTAAAAATCTTCGTCGGCAAATCCATAAACAACCCTCAGTACCCTCCTGTGAAAGGCACCGTTTTCAGCCTTCTCATCCACATCAAAGACCTCTACGACTACCACGCCGCCATCGCCGCCGAGCACTCGACTTACCGGATCCTTGCACCGGCGCAGAGCTACATCTACACAACGGAGCCGAGGAACATCGAGCACTTCCTCAAGACCAGCTTCAACAAGTACTCTAAAGGCGAGAGCAGCCGCGAGAACATGGCGGATTTGTTCGGCCGGGGGATTTTATTGGCCGACGGAGAGGAGTGGAAGCATCAAAGGAAGCTCGCCAGCTCCGAGTTTTCGACGAGAATTCTCAGAGATTTTGGCTGCTCTGTGTTTAGGAAGAACGCTGCCAAGTTGGTTCGAGTTGTTTCACAATTTTCTGATGTTGAAGGAAGAGTTTTTGACATGCAAGTGAGTGATATCAAATATGAAACCAACCACCGCATATAATATAAGATAAGATATCTATTTATGCGGTACAAAATATTATCCACAGTTGCTAAAGTAGTTTTTAACGACCACACATAATTTTCCGGTGATTCAAGAATTAAGTTATTCTATCACCAACTAATAGTGCAAATATTTTTTAATATAATATAATATTAACATTATGCGGATTGATGTCAAATATTGGGAAAAAAATTTATTTTGTTTCTCAATTTTAAAGGTGGAGATACACATGGTTGAGAGTTTTGTATATGTATATTTTAAAAAAGTTTGTTGCTTACCGTTCTCTCCCTTAAAAATCTAAAATAATATACGCCCACTTCTCCCATTAAATTGTGGACGTTTGGTTCATAAATTTAAAATCATGATTCAGAACCATTCTCGATTTACGTATTTTTTGTGAGAGAAAATACTGTAGCAAGTTACAAACTATGATTCGAACTATGGTACGAATCCTCATACCAAACACCCTATAAATTATGTGTCCGCCTTTCTTATTTATTTTTCTAGCTCCGCCCTTAAGGCGTATTATTTACTTGTTACTCACGGCTTAAATATTTGAGCATGTGAAATACATGAATCATTCATATATGATCATCACATACGTTTTATGATATAGGGTTTGCTCATGAGATGCACTTTGGATTCCATATTCAAAGTTGGGTTTGGGGTAGAATTGAATTGCTTGGAGGGTTCAAGTGAAGAAACGACTGAATTCATGAAGTCCTTTGATGCTTTGAATGCTTTGGTGTTGTGGCGCTTTTTGGACCCACTCTGGAAATTGAAAAGGTTTCTACACATCGGTTCTGAGGCCTTCTTGAGAAGGGAAGCTAAAATCGTTGACGATTTTGTGTACCAGCTTATTTGGAAGAAGAGGCAATTGCTTGCACTCAAAGGAGATTCTGTGAGTTAATTAACATTTTAACTAGTTGCTAATTAATTAATTGCGCTTTCATTCTTTAATTTTTGCGCATAAACACATTTGCCTCTATGTATGAGTCTTTGTTTTGTTGCTTATTTTAGATTTTCATTATATATTTCCATGAACACGGGACACGGCCATTTTGGGGTGTGATGGAATTTGGAGTTATTAAGGCTCAGTTTATTTCACCAATTCGAGTTTTGTTGCAGTAAAAAGTTTTAAAAAATAGTCACATTTAATTTTTTTACTACAATAAAAAGTTCTCACATAAAGTCACATCTCAACTCAAATCAGCAAACTAAACGGACCCTAAGTACTTGGGATTCTATCTTAAAAGGTTAATTTGTTAAGTAAGGCGTCTTAATGCTCTTATAAATTGGTGTTTATTTTTGTATTTAAAAAATGTGAGACTCGGGTTTACTTTTACCTTTATAGGACCGGACCTACTATTTCTTAATTGATTGGTGTTTGCCCTGAGTGCTCTTTTGACCCACTTGCTATTAGAGATTAGTGATGTTGATAACTCGCGGGTCTTTTAGAAACACTCTCTTCACTTGGTCTATATAAACTAGTTATATCATTTTATGGTTAGAAATAACTGAAAAATATCGGATGCAACAACATTAATAGTGCCAAGGCATAGTAAATTTAAATAAATTTGTTGATTCACTAGTAGAAAAATAGAAATAGATTGCAGGGTGAGACGTCACCAAGAGGCAGCCTCTAATAACATATACTCGAGTAAAAAAAAACAAAAAAAAGTATAGATGTGTTTCTTCATTAATGTTGATTAATGGAATATTTGAGTCTCATGATTGATTAAACCCTTTTTTTTTTTTTTTTTTTTTTTTAAGAATAATGGCAAAGAAGACATACTCTCAAGGTTTCTAAGGGAGAGTGAGAAGGATCCAGAGAAAATGAACGATAAGTATCTGAGAGATATAGTTCTGAATTTCATGATTGCTGGCAAAGATTCCACCGCAGGTACTCTCTCATGGTTCTTCTACATGTTGTGCAAGAACCCTCTTGTACAGGAAAAAGTTGCACAAGAAATGAGAGATGTTTTTGGCGACAGATTTGATAATAGTATAGATGACTTCATAGAGAATATAACTGATGCAAATCTTGAGCAAATGCACTATCTCCATGCTGCACTCTCAGAGACTCTCAGGCTATATCCAGCTGTTCCTGTGGTAATAACTTCCCCAAACTCTTTCAAATCAATTTTCATTAATTGCAATTCTCTCTCTCTCTCTCTCTATATATATATATATATATGTGTATGTATATATCAACTGCCCAATCTAGCACTTGAAACCTTATATATGTTGAGGATTTTCATAATGGGTTTTACTAGATAAGGTTTTTGGTTAATCTCATAAATGGTCTTTAAAATTTAGCATCAATCTCACTTTAATTTCTGACTTTTCAAACGTCGTACAGCTCTGAAGTTTTATATCTCTTTGATGGATGGAGATTTAGATACTGCGTTGTCATATTGGCCAGTCGATGTGCATAAGTAGAACGTCTCTCATATTTGCCTGGTTTCTATATCGATTCTGCTTATGTAATTTCTTTAATTTTGATTGTAATAGCTATTTATGCATGGTTTATTAGCCTATTTGGCTAGATTAAACCTCAACTTTCTTAATAGTACTTGATGCCACAATTGTTTTAGGGGCCTTCTCTCTTTATCTATGACAACTTCGTTAAGATCATGTAGAGAATTTGTCATTCGCCTTTGCATGACTGAATTGTTATCTATTTCACAAAAATAAAAATTAGAATTAAGTCTGAAATATCAACTTGTAACAATATTACCGTTAGTTTTGTTGATTCGAGTTGTCAATTTAGTTGAAAAGTGAATTATGTGAAAGAAAACATTATAGAAAAGAAAAAAAAGTTACATTTAATTTTTTGTCAGAGAAAATAGTACTATAACAAAAATTTAAGTTATGATTCGAACTAACAAAACGATCAGACGTTTAATGTTTTGTAGATAATGTCATTTATGGTTTTTTGATAGGATGGAAAATGCGCAGATGTAGAAGACACTCTTCCCGATGGCTTTAGAGTAAAAAAAGGTGATGAAGTGTTTTACGTCTCATATGCCATGGGCAGAATGCCTTACATTTGGGGAGAAGATGCAAAGGATTTCAGGCCTGAAAGATGGCTCAATAATGGAGTTTTTCAACCACAGTCACCATTCAAATTTGTAGCATTTCATGTATGTGAACTATTTTACTTATTTTTCCATTAAAGATTCATGCCAGAGTATATGAAAGTTTGATTGAATTGACAATCAGTCATCTGAAATTTCAAGCTCTTTAAACGAGTTTAAATAACGTATGCAAAGCGGTTTATGCTAATTACCTTTTAGGGTGCGTTTGGTAGATAGATCTAGAATCATGATTCTGAATATTGGTTCAGAATCAGTGTTTGTTTACAGTGATTCTGAATCATGATTCAAAATCATGATTCAAAATCAGTGTTTAGTTTTGATGATTTTGAATCATGATTCAAAATCTGATGTGATGTTTTAAACTAGTTTAAATTATGATTTTAAAACCACCTCTCCTCTTAATTCAAGGTGATTCAAACCTCTTATTCTGAATTATGGTTTTAGAATAATGATTTGAACCCAAAATCATGAATTATAGTTTTGGTTCTGGAATCATGATTAGAATCATCTTAATTTGAATCCTCATACCAAACGAATCCTTAATTTTTCACGGACGTGACAAGTGAGTAGTTTTTTAATTCGTAAATCTTATCAAACTTATTTATAAAAATAGATTGTTTGAGAAAAGGAAATCAACTCGCCATACATTTGTATAGAAAAATTTGAGATAATAACACTTTTCAAACGTTAACTATTTATATGATTACCTATAACATGGTTTTTGCATTTTGCAGGCTGGCCCTAGAATTTGTTTGGGGAAGGACTTTGCTTATCGGCAGATGAAGATTGTATCAACTGCCCTCCTTCGGTTTTACCGCTTCAAATTAGCTGAGGAAACAAAAGATTTGACTTATAAGACCCTGCTCACTCTTCACATTGATGGAGACCTCCCTCTTTGTGCAATTTCGAGAACAATCTTCTAAGTTGTTGGTTAATATGTGAATCCAAATAAGTGCCTCCACTTGAGCAAAAACAGAGTCTGCAATGTAAAAGTATCGGCTATTAACTAAATAAAAAATATTAGCATCACTCTATTTATTATTTTCTGTATTTATTATTTAACACGTGAACTCTATTAACATAATACGTTATTATTTTAACAGAAAATAATATAATAGAGTCTACGTGTTAAATAATAAATTCATATAATCACAAAAAAGAGTAATAAAAAAAATAACGCTGGCATTTCTCTTAATTAAAATTAACTAAAGTTTTAGAATCAAAATTTGACAGCTCTAATGATCAAAAATCTATTTATTTATATCAAATTTTTTTTATTTAATATGATTTTAATTACATTTAACGGTAAAAAAAAAAAAAAAAAAAACACAGCAGTAAGGTCCCTCCAAACAAAACTAAAAAATTGTACAAATAACAATAATGAAAATAAAATTCTGTTTTTTTTTTTTTTTCAAAGGAAAAATTCTAATATTTTGGGTTTAAGTTCATTTTGAAAAAAGAAAGAAAAAATTGAAAACCCTGGAGCTCAGATATAGCTCATCACTCATCAGTGACGATCGGCACCCACCCCCAGCTGGAGTGTGCGAGCGCCGTCGCGTCAGCCCTTCCCCCCGATTCCCCCCGGGCATTTTGCGAGCCTATTTCAAGCCAAGCTCCTCCTCCACGGTTGGTTTTCTGTTTGTAACTTTTGTTTGAAGTTTGTATTCTGTGCTCTTTGGGATTTTGAGGGATTTTTTTGGATTTTGGGATTTCATTAATAGATTTTACAAATCTCCATTTTGAAGAGATTTTTTAAATTAGGTTGATATTTGTTGGAATTTGGTATGATTATGGTGTTGTAAAGTGTTCGATTTTTATGGTTTTATTTTTATTTTTATTTTTATTTTTTGTGTATATATCAGAATCGCAAGCAATACGGCCACAACATTCAACTATGTAATTTTAGACTTTGTAACTTTCATCTTTACAATGGAGTTCATCTTCCCATTTCTATCTTTTTCAATCTAGTCTTTATATATATATATATATATATAAACATATATATTTACTAAAACCTCAGATTATCTTGTCTAAATCATCAATTATGTAACACATTTAGAGGATGCAAAAGCATAGAAATTGGAAATTCCGTCAGTTTTTCCGTTAATCGTGTAATTTGGAGAAGAGTTATACTAAAGCAGAGGGGGAATTTGATTTTTAAGAGCAGACCATGGGGTGGTTTTGTATGTTCTTTGCCTGTTTGCCTTACTCGAAAACATCGCTTAATCATTTTCTTCAAAAGCTTGTCTATTATGTTTTTTAGTTTCTTGAGCATCAATCATTACCAGCTGTTAATCAATCTCAAATAAAAGCTTTATTTTTAGATTTGAATGCTTATTTTCTTGTGTTTGCTGTTTTGGTTGATATTGTTTCTCGAGTCATTTTCCTCATTTTAGCTTTTTTTATACATTGAATTTTTAGTAGAATGAAGCTTATTCCTTATATGGGTTTGGAAATCAGGAAATTACTGCTGCATTATTTCCGATTCTGTTAGCGGATGTAGTTTTCTTCCTTGTTAATTGATCTGCTCAATTCAAGTGCTTATTCTGTTTGAGTCATTGACTTGTAATGTTGGTCCCTTTGCCCCATGATACCGAGTATTGAAAAACAAATTTTGTATTCTTTAGTTTTTGTTATCTGTTAGTTATTGAGGGGCCAAAGCATTTTCCAGGCCTGGATCACCCTAAGCATGGCCGAGTTTCTTTTATATTTTCAAGATTGATCGGTTGAACCCTGATGGGAAAAAGTTTGACAAGGTTACTCGAATTGAAGCAAAGAGTGAGAAGTTTGACATGTTCACGCACCTAGATGTGAACACCGATATGTATCCAATGAAGGTAGGTGAGAAATTCTCAATGGCTCTAAGTTCCACACTGAACGAGGATGGAACGCCCGACACTGGCTGACAACTATGAGTATGTCATGCAAGGGAAGCTGTATAGAATTGCCAAAGGTTCTGGACATCACGGTAAAGCGGAGATAGATGCTTCATTTGGGGGTCTTTTGATGATGTTGAAGGGTGATCCATCTTATTTCAAGAAGTATGAACTTGATCAGAGGCTGTTTCTTCTTATAAGGAAGGTTTAAATTTCACTGGTTATGAACATAGTTTAGCTTATTAAGATGTATTAACTTTGCTGTTGTTTCTCCTCTTGAGGAAGGGGACAATGATTGTGGCAAAGCTCTCTCAGAACATGAAGATTTTTAAGCTTTCTGTTGTATCAAGTTGATTTTCTGCTCTTTCTTTGTCGAGTGCTACTTGACTTGAACCCTGATATATTACGTGGCTTGGTTAAGGTTGATTTGATACTATACTATGACAGCCATCAATCCCTTGAGGCACAAGGCCAGAAAATGATAAGTTGTGCATTCCTACATCGCCTGAGAATGAAGATAAGTTATAGTTTATAAGGAATGACATCGCCTCCCAATAGTATGAGGCCTTTTAGGGTGAAGCTCAAAAGCAAAACGGTGCAGGATCAGGCCCAAAGCGGACAATATTATACCAGGTGGAGATGGTATCAGAACCTCTACGCAGCCAGAAATGTGACTAAGGAGGACGTTGGGCCTTCATGAGGAGGGGTGATTGTGACAGCCATCAATCCCTTGAGACACAAGGCTAAGAAAGGGTACGTTGTGCAATCTCACATCACCTGGAGATGAAGATAAGTCGTGGTTTATAAAAAATGACATCATCTCCTAATGGTATAAGGCCTTTTGAGATGAAACTCAAAAGCAAAACCGTGCGGGCTCAGGCCCAGAGCGGACAGCCTTAATGTTGCTCAAGTGTTTATTTTGAATCTTGTGATTCCACAGGTTTGGTGATGTTTATAAAATCATGTTACACTCAACCATGGGGAGGAGTTCACTGTGAAAAGGTTTCGAGTTCATCATGAAAGAAAAAAGTGGGTTCATGTTCATGTTGAAGAATGGAACTTAATCGGGATAGTAGTGATTTTCCTCTCTTGTTAACAGACAGAAGAAGCGTCAAGCTTGACGATGCGGTTGAAAGTCGGAAAGAAAAAGAAGCACAAATCTTGTGGGTTGCGGCTTATAATACCAAATATGCACCAACATAGTGGAGGTCGTTCGATTGCATCTGAAAATTTCATACATAGTTCAACAATCAATATAAATCCAACACTTGGTATAATAGAAATCCAAAGAATTCGACAAAAAAATCTACATAAAACTAGCTCCTCTCCAAGGTAACAAGAAGAAATCAACAAGGCATAAACTTGGTAAACATTTAAAAAATATTAGAAAGAATTATTTTTAATATATATGTATATAAAATGCATATTGGTATGTATTATTATCTAAATAGAAAATGAGAGAGTGAAGTTTACTTGTTAAACAATAAAAATAAATGATGATAAAGAAAGTGACACAAAAAGATACTAGCAGTCTCTATATTTGAGATAATGACTATATAAATAGAGAGCATCCAATTATAATTTTAATTATAAAAAAAATATTAGCATATATGGCCTCTTTTAAGAATTTTTTAAAAAAATAATCAAAATTCTATAAAAATTTACAAAATAATTATTTCTTTTATTAACTTAATGGTCAATTATTGATTAACTTAATAGTCAATCACTGATTGATTGATTGACTCAACAATCAATCACTAATTGATTTAAGTAATCACTGATTAACTCGATAATTTTTTATTATTAATCAATATTAAATAATAATTAATTAAAATTAATTAAAAATTAATCAATTTCAATAAAAAATTATATATTTATTTATGTTTATTATTTTTTTATTAAAATATATTTGTTTCACAGTTAAAATTTTGAGTTATATACGTGAGAGAAAAATATTATAATAAAAAAATTAAATTTAAATTTTTATGAGAGAAAATCATAAAACTTGAATTATTAGGGGATGTTTTTTTTGCCGTTTTTGAGTTAGGTGACTTAAGTGTAGATTTTGAGTTGAGTTTGAGTTATAACTTGAGTTGAAGTTGTAACTTGACTTTGTGTTTGGTTATGTACATTTGAGTTATGGTTTGAGATAAGAATCTTTTTGAGTTTGTGTTTGAGTGAGTCAAAACTTGAATTTGTATTTAGATAGTATTTTTAATAAAAACTCAATGTTGATGAAAAATTTTAATAGGGTGTATGGGTGAGATTTTATTCCTCTTTTCGTTGCAACGCATAGAAAAAAAATCATCTCAATCAAAATTAAAACGAAAAAGTTATAGCATTTTTAAGAATAAAAAAAATATTATTCATTAATTTGAATTTGAGTTACTGAACTTGAGTTAAAGTAGAAATTTAAACTCGAGTTTTAGTCTCAAACTCAAATTTAAACTTAAAAGAATATGAACTTAAATAAAATTATAATTTGAATTATTTTTTTTTTATATTTTTAACTAAAAAAATGGGCTGCCAACAGCCCCTACACGCGAATCCCAAAAACAATTGCCATTATTTTGAGTAGAATTCTAATATTATGAATTGTTTTAAGTGCATTTTGAAAAAAAAGCAATATTAAACCTAGAGTCGTCAGTGAGCGTGTCCCGGTTCCCCATCTCCAGTAGCGTCACCCCAGCCCTTCCCTCCGATCGCCCGAGCATTTTTGCGAGCCAAAGCTCCTCCGCGGTTGGTTTTCTGTTTTTAATTTCTGTTTAAAGTTGTGATTTTGGAATTTAATATTTTTTTATGTGCATTTTGAGAAAGGCATTATTGATTGATGTTTTTGGAATTTGTTTGATTTTTGGAAATCATTTGTTTCGTCTTTCCCTCTGTAATCTTTTTTCTCTTTTTTTTTCTTCCTTTCGATTTCCTTTGTTGCTCGTTCTGGTATTTTTTTTTATTAAAATTCCGTTTTCTGTTTCGTCATATGATTCTAGTATTGATTCGTAAGAAGTTTGTCCCCTATTTCTTTTTGGTTTTAGGGCTACCTCTAGAGAGAGAAAGTAGAGAGAGAAAGAGAGTGAGAATGGCGACGACGGAAGAAGAGAGCGCGGTGAAGGAGCCGTTGGATCTGATAAGGCTCAGCCTGGATGAGCGCATCTACGTCAAGCTCCGCTCCGACCGCGAGCTCCGCGGCAAGCTCCATGTACCTCTCCTCACCCTATTATTTTATTCCTCCCTTTTCAACCCAAATTAGGGTTTCAACTTCGATACTTCCTTTTTCCCCTTTTGCTTAATCTCAATCTACATGCACCCACTAATCAAAATTAGGGTTTACCTCTACAAAATAGTAGCAATTACCTGCTCTGTTTGTATTAATACTTACCTTGTGAAAGGGCCCATTTGGTTCTAGGACTTGAACTCATGATTCTTTTTGCTCCTTCACAAAAAATTTGAATAAAAAAGTTTCTGTCAATGGGTTTTCTCATAAAATTTGAATTAAAATCTGACTTCAAGGCGTGAACCAAACGGGCGATTGGTGTTTGGTAGAAAAATATGATTATAATTTCACTTCTTCAGCTATAGAAAGTTTCTGGTTTTTTAATTAATTTATTTATGTTAAAATATTGTGCCAGAAAATTCTTTGCTGAATTTTCAGATAGCGCGAGGGTTTTGTGAGTTTTGTGAATTTATATATCTTCTGTTTGGTAAGATTAAATATTGCTGAAGGTTGTTTGTAATTTTGCTTCCCTTTTAGTATATTATTAGGCCCAATGAAATTTCTCAGTGAAACCATATACATATATATAGTAGATACACATATATATTCCTAATTTGAGTTATCAAGTTCGAAATTATCCACTCCTTTTTAAGTACTAAAAAGAGAATTCTTTGGTAGAGTACAAAAATTTAACTTTCCTCACGTGCAGATTGTTGGACAATTTTTCACAGTCAGGTTATAATGATTCCATTAAATCATCATACTTCAAATTAATTTAGTTTGATATGATTTTTGTTTGATCTCATGGTTAAAAATTGTATTTGATCTGATCTGAGAGCTTTGAAATGGAGTTTTTCATTCCGCACTAAAGAATGGATTCTCCTAATAATAATAAAATCATTTATTTGATTGGTAGTTCTATCACGTATATAAGTGCACAACTCATAGTAAGTAAAGCTTAGTTCAAAATACTAACGAAGTTGTATGTTCAAGCTTGGTTTTTGTGACATGTTTAGGAGCTAAGTTAAGCAATAATCGCATTTTGACTGACATCTCTCCGCCTTCTTTTCTCCTCAGTCTTCATTTCTGTTGCAGTGGCATGTAACATGTAAACCAGGAAACATTATACCATAATTATTTGAACGATTTGGGTGTCAAGGTCATAGCATATAGGTGGATGGAAATCAAATATTATTTTGAAGTGTTTATGCCTTTTGGTTGGCGCTTAAGCGCTTTTGCAAAAATATGGTTAATATCTTTTTTTTTATTGGGTTTGCATCTGTGTTTGCAGGCATATGATCAGCATTTAAATATGATTCTCGGTGATGTTGAAGAAGTAGTCACTACTGTAGAAATTGATGATGAGACATATGAAGAGATTGTTCGGGTACGTTTTGTTTCATGTTCTACGTTGGTGTATTGGTTAAAGAGTTTAGAATGTGGATGTGGAAATCTTTTTAAAAAAAAATAAATAAATACTTGGTCATTTTGAATTTAGTTGATAGAGGTTTCAGCAGTCATTGTTTGGTAACTAGTTTACGAATTATATATTGCCTGGGCAGTACCCTTTATTGCCTGTGGACGTGTATGCACTTAAAGTTGAAAGATTATAATCCTTTGTTCTTTTTTGTTTTATAATAATCAATTTCTTATTCCTTTTAACTTTTTAAGTAAAAAATCATATGAGATTTCATCCAAGCAAAAACAGACCACTCTTAAATGCAAATTATTGTGGGGGCTTCGTTTATATTTGAAAATTAAGAGTCTATGGCTCCATGCTCAAGATAAAAATAAAAGCATTGAAATACATGATAACAAGGCCTGCCCAAAGAAAATCAATTCTATAATGATGCTTGGAAGTTTCAATCTTTTTCTGTAAACATACATCTGGTGGAAAAAACCAGGCTCGTTGTTTGTTCTATTCTCTCCTTAGAAATTAACTCTATTTTTTTTTTTTTTTTTTTTTGCTAATTCACTTCTCTTTCATCTTATTGTATTCCAGACTACAAGGCGCACGGTTCCTTTTCTCTTTGTCAGAGGGGATGGTGTTATTCTTGTTTCACCTCCTTTGAGGACAGCTTGATTAATTCAACTCCTCTCAACATGGTTAACCAGTAACGGTGGATTTTGTCAAAGCCATCACTGTGTTAGTGTACCTTATTAATGTTGAAAGAAGAAAAACTCTCAGAACATGCAGATATTTAAGCTTTTTGTTGTATGAACTTGGTTTTCTGCTCTTTCTTTGTTGAGTGCTACTGATTGGAACCTTGACATATATTATGTGGATAGGTTAAGTTTCAAACTTACTCATTTCATAAACATTTTTGTGTTCTTTGCATTTTTCTCTTTTATGGACAGGAAAACAGCAAGTAAACATCTTGTAGATAAAGGGATAAAACTTAGTAGTTGCCTCTAAAACAAGGGATCAGTAGTGAGTAAGACCGGTTGGTCTAGTGGCACTGGGGGTGTTTAGGTGGGATGGGGTTTGAGGGAGATTGCAGTTTCGTTTCCGTATTGTATTAAATTAAAAAATAAATAAAAATAAGAGTTTAATAGTTGCAGGCATAACTTAGTAGTAATTTCACACTTGACTCCATAAGGAGTGTTCATTCAATCCGATCCAATTTATTTTGGTCATATAACAACCAATCTAATTAAAGGTCAGTTTGAATTAGATTGGACCAATCAGTTTTCTACTTGAGCTTTTTGTACTTTTTTTATTTTTTATTTTCTTGTTTGATTTATTTGTTAGATTTTTTGACAAAATTTAAATGCTACAGTTGAATAAATGAAGCAAGAATAACATTCATATATGTAAACTCCAAATAAATGAAGCAAGAATAACATTCATAGATCCAAGCATATAAAAAAAGGCATATAAACTCCAAATTACTTTGATTAAACATCTAACAAACAACTTAAATAAAAGAAATGAAAATAAAATTACAATCTGATAAACATAAAAAGTTCAAAAAAAAAATTTAGAAAGAAAGTGACTAGGAAGAAATAGATTTTAAATTTTGGACTAATAATGTATAAATATGTATATTTATGTATGTTTTTTTATAACATATATATAGAGGATGGATCGGTTTGGATTGGGTTAATATCCAATCCAATCCAAGTCGGTTTTTAACAATTCACATCCAATCCATTTTAATTGAGGTCGGTTAGCCACTAAAAATGTATTGGATCATATTGGACTGGTCGGTTTAATCGGTTGATTGGATCTGATAAACACCCTGAACTCCACCATAATGTGACGAGTTCAAATCCCCTTACCCCTAAGTTCAAGGAAAAAAAAAAGGGAGGGTTCAAGGAATCCATAGTGGCCTTATTGTTGCTCAAGTGTTTATTTTCGATCTAATAATTCCGCAGGATTTGGTGATGTTTATAAAATCATATTACAATCGAACCGTGGGGAGTTCACCATGAAAAGGTTTTGAGTTCATTATGAAAGAAAAAAGTGTGTTCATGCACATGTGAACCCTTAGATGGGGATAGTAGTGTTGGTCTTGCTGGAATAAGTTTAATATGATAGTGAAATTGTTGGACTTAGGACCTTGAGGGTGGTCATTTCAAGCTTTAACTATGCGATGAAACTTATAGTTGGATCTCAGTTGGCAACTAATAAACTATCGAAACAATGACAACAAAGTTGCAACCGGTTTGGTCTCCTTTTTCCACGACTTGATAAAGATTCATGAGTCTTTAAGTCGTTATACGTATAAGAGATAAAAGGAAAGTTGTAATTACTTTCTTTTTTTCCTGACAAAAATTGGATCGTTGTGTCATTCCGCTCCTTAGCTCCATCATCTATAAAAACCAATCTCAGGGCACACCAATGTAAACATAAAGGCTGTTTCATATTCAAGCTAACTATCATGGGTCTAATGCCACACTACTCAAGCATGTAAGACCTTCTATATTTAGAGTCATTTAGATGAATAGATCCCGTTCATTTCACCGATTCGAGTTTATAATTCAAGTTTTGTTACAATAAAAAGTTCTCAGAAACAATCACATCTAACTTTTTTACTACAGTAAAAAGCTCTCATATAAAGTCACATCTCAACTTAAATTAAAAACTCGAATCAATTAACTAAACGGGAGAAGAATGAAAAATATCCTTATAAACATGCACCAAAAAGATCCTCTCTAAATTTTTTTTGTTTTAAAAAACAAAAACAAAAAGAATTTGTGGAGTGGGAAAATAATGTCAAAGTGGCTCTTATTCTGCCCCGTTCACTTCGTTGATTCGAGTTTAAAATTCGAGTTGAGATGTGATTTTATGTAATAGTTTTTTACTATAACAAAAAAATTAGATGTGATTATTTATGAGAACTTTTTACTGTAGAAAAATTCAAATTCTAAACTCGAATCAGCGAAGTGAACAACCTACATTATTAAACATAGCTGAAAAATTGACAAAGTCACAAACTCTACAGCACAGGACGAAACAGTACATGCTCTTCCGGACCTAATTATTTTCATTGTAGGAAAACCACTTTTTTTTTGTTTGATGTTCTTTTATAATATAAAAGCCTTGTTTGTTTAATCAATCCTTAACTTCACACTCGTGTTGTACTTGGATTCTTACACCCTTTTTTTTTTTTTTTTTTTTTGGCTTTTCTTGTCTACTTGATTTCTTGTTTTGTACATGCCCTTAGCGAGGACATGTTAGCAAAAAAGGCTTATTTGCACTAATAGTCTCAAACCTTTTATCTCTGCTACAAATTGGTACTCAACCTCTTTTTTTAATATTATTTAAATTCCTAATGTTTGCGTTAATTTTACAAACAATCTCTAAAATTTACTTTCATTCTTATTTTGATCTTTAAATGCCCGTTTGAAAAGTATACTCAAATTATAATTTTTAATTTTGACGTTTGAAATTTAAATTTATTCTAAGAGAAAAACACTATAATAAAATCAGGAATTGTTTGGAAGTTATACTCAAACTCAAATCATGATTCTGATACAGTATTTTTTATCTCATAAAGAGTTTGAATTCTAAAATTTCATCTCTCACAAAGTTCCCACCAATAAACCAAAATAATGATTTGAATATACTTTCTAAACATACCCTCAATGATTTAAATTTGAGTATTTGAAATAAACATGCCCTAACTTTTAAAAAATCCTAAACTTAACCTTAAATTTTACTCCTTCCGTCAATTGGATGTAAAAAATATGACAAAATATGGATGGTGTTCTAGTTGTCATCAAGATCACGAGCATATCATGTAATCTCTTGACATAGTATTATTTTCTTTAGTATCTCATGTATAATATCTATTCTTTTAAACATTTAACTAATAGGAAAGGCTAAAATTGAAACAAATGATAAATTAGGATTAAGTGTGTGATATAATATCTATTCTCTTGACATAGAATTTTTTTGTTCCCTCTTGGTCCTAGTCCTCCACATATGTAGTGCCTCTAGAACCTAAAAAAAAAAAAAATGAAAATGTACTTCTTTTCTACTCTAAGAATCTTTAAATCCCGCTCATTTCGTCGATTCGAGTTTTGCTACAGTAAAAAGCTCTCAGAAACAATTACATTTAACTTTTTTGCTATAGTAAAAAGCTCTCACACAAAATCACATCTCAACTTGAATTACAAACTCAAATCAACAAAATGAACCGGTCATTTTCTTTCTTTTTTCTTTTTTTTTTTTCGTGAATAGAATCTTATCTTACGTTTCAAAAAACAAAAAGAGAACTTCACTAAAAAAAAAAAAAAACAAAAAAACAAAACAAAAAACAAAAAAAAAAAAAAAACGGATCTTTAGCTCTTTCCATAAAGTCAATAGAACTTTTACGGTTGAGATTATTCCATCTAATAACCCCGGTTACTTTCTCCACAGTTTCACATTAAAAAATTAATTTTTTTTTCTACAATCGAAAAAAAAAGAAAAAAAAAGAAAATCAGATCAAAGAGTTCAACAAAGCGCCTCTTGTGTTCCACATTCGATTTTTACTTTATTTATTATCCAACCCAAAACAAAGAGAAATTCAGTTCACAGAAAGGAAAAAAAAAAAAAAAAAAGGAAGAGAAAGAGAGAGAAAAAGAGAGAAATCACAGACACGTAAATCAGATCAAACGAAAACTGTTCGTTTATTCTCAATTTCTCATGATTCACCGGAAGATGAAGAAGAGTCCTGAATTCAAGAAATCGATTTCCATGAATTCGCACCAAAAGGTTTGAAAATTCCCATTTCTCCGAATTTCTCAATTCTCAGTTTCCATGGATTTCAACTGCCTTTCCTTGGTGCTGCTCTGATCTGCTTTGATTTTCGCTAGGGTTAGAGTTTACCCCCTTGAATCGGTCCCCTAGATCGTCAAAGTTAGGGTTTTTAGCTTCTTGAGAACAAATTCGGTGTCGATCTTTTGAGAATTTGATTCCGCTGGATCAACGGTTGAAGGTTGTAAACTTCTTAGTATATCGGAGAAAAATCTAGGGTTTCGTTGCAGTTTAATTGACTGATCGATATAATGGAGTATAGAAGGAATGAGGGCTTTATTAGGCCAAATTTGAATTCGAGATTGCGTGATCCTTATGAGAATATCGATCGCCGTGAGGCAACGCATCGATCTTCACAAAGGAGTGCGAGCCCTCACGGGTTGGCGCCACAGGATGTGGATGTGAGTCAAGGGGCTGGTTTTTCCGTGGAAGGGAGGGAATATGGTTGGCATTTGGATCGGGGCAGGGCGGGTTCCGTGCGGGTTCGGTCTAGGTCGCCTCCGTCACTGGTTCTGGAGGATGCTCGGAAAAGGCCTCACTTTGATGATGGGGTTGGGATTTCGTCTCGGAACTATTCGCCGACCCCATCAACTGAGTTGAGGCTGAGTCGTGAATTGGTTGAGCAAAAGAATTCAAATTTCAATAATGAGGATGCCGGTTTGCACACTATGCGCGGCTATGGATACGAGCATAGTGATCCTAGGATTAGTAAAGAGGACTTCAGTGATATTGGTTTGTCAGCTGGTGATAAACATCGGTCATTAGAACAAAAGGCAGTGGTTGTGGAAGACTCTGTGGCACGAGAAGCATATCGTTCACCACCAAACCTTGGCCCTACATCTTTCTACGGGGATACTGCTGTTAGGCACCTGCCATCATTGTCAAAGAATATGGAAACCCAGCAGTTTGAGCATGGAAGACTTCAGTATCAGGACCCCATCTCTTTTGCTAGATTGCCAGTAGCTCAATCCTACAAAGATGGAGAAAAACCCATGTACTATTTAAGGGATGTCTCATATCACATGCAATCAGGATCAAATTCCAAGGGGCTTGCCAGTTCCTCATTGGAAACATCAAGAAATGAGTTTATGGCTTATCGAGATAGCCTGCATTTGCCCCATGCCAATGAATTTAAAAGCCCCATGAAGCAAACTGAACCGGTAGGTTTGAATACCTATAGGGAAAGGCCACTTCTAGATTCTGCAAGAGACCCTGAAGATACACAGAGAAATCCAACTTTTTACCCGAGGACATATAGCCCTAAGAGGGATGAGCATGAAAATTATTTGTACTCTAAATCACATGAAATGGTTGATGATCGTGAATATCCAGGTGATAATTTGCATAAAATCATGGCTCCACGAGGTCAATTAGACTATGGTCGTACTCAAATTATTTATGATCACAGAGATATGTCAAGGCTTGGTATTGCGCAACCTGTAGTAGACAGGAATGATAACATTGATGGTCTCAATGGAAATCTGAGAAAGGAAAATGCATACTACCATCCTGCTTTAGAAAAACAGACAGATCCAGACTACTTTGATATGAGAAGAGAGAAACAGACAGATCCAGACTACTTTGATATGGGAAGAGAGAAACAGACAGATCCAGACTACTTTGATATGAGAAGAGCGCCACATATATCAAAGCAGGATGGAGAGTATTTGGGTTCTGGATTTACACATGTTGAGCTTGGAAGGACAATGCCTCAAGATCGTGAAATTTTGCATACAGGAGCATCAAAAGACCAGCAAATTACAGGTTTAGAAGCAAATTATGGTTTTGGTAGCAATGCTGGTCCACAGTTTAAAGAAGGAAGGTTGCTCTACACACATGCTCCTAAGTATCAGAGTGAAATGAATAGGCCAAATGCAAGAATGCAAAATGTGAGGGATGAGCATGGAATGTATAAATCACATGATAGAGTGGTCAAAGGAAAATATAGTATTCAGGATGATGTAAGTGCCTACAATTCTCGAACAACTTTGTCAGGTAAGTTGTATTCATCTAGACAGTACGAGGACTTTTATGAAACTGGTGAGGAGTGGATTGATGAGGAGGCGGATGATTTATATGCAGCCAGGTCGACGGGATTTGAGCATGCAGGATATAGAAGGGCTGAGAGGAAATATGATGTACAGGATGTTCCTGAAGATTTTGTATCTGATGAGTGGCTCTCATCTCAGGAGTTGCCACATGCACGTAAACATTCTGTTGGATTTTCTAAACCTTATGGTCGACATATAAGGGGTCGCGGAAGACCTGGTTATATAAGGCATCATAACTCACAACGTTATGATAGAAAAGATTATCCTTACAGACAGCAGAACCAGTATGACAAAAGAAAACCTGTTTACAGACAGTACAACCAGTATGATAGAAAAAATCAGCATTACAGACAGCACAAAGTTTGGAAAAGAAATGATGGCTATAATGAAGAGTTTCATGCAGAAGATGGCAATAATAACAGTGATCCATCTGAAGATTGGGTGAACCCTGAAGAGAGTGAGCCCACTGAGGACACTGAGGAGTTTAAGCAACTGGTACATGAAGCTTTTTTAAAATACTCTAAAATGGTGAATGTGAACCCAGCTGTTCAGAGAAGATACAAGGAAGAAGGGAAAGCTGGTAGTTTGTTCTGCATTGTGTGTGGAAGAAGGTGTGTATTCTTTTCTGTAAGTTCTTTCTTAAAGTGGGGCACGTTTTACATGTTTTCATTCAGGCGCTTGTGGTATTAGTCATGCTGTCAAGTAAGTAGACTTACCCTCAAGATTGGTGTATGAGATGCGTGCATTCTTTGGCAACTAGCAGAGTTACGTTCATTAGGAGTTTGTATATAGGCACATTCATCATTCATGGTATAGAGACATAACTGAAGTGCGGAGGTAGTGCACTTTGAATCTTAATGGGCTGGTTATCCTTGTAATAATTGTTCATAAACTATAGACCTTCAGGGAATGTAATTACTGTTGTCCGTTCCTCATGCTGGTGGTGGTAGTAATATTAGCAATAGCTTTTGAGACTACAAAGTGAAATCTTTATTTTTATGGGGCGTAATAGTATTAGCAACAAACACATTTTAGCTATGGTGATAAAGGACATCCGTACAGGTGGTAGTCGTGTTAGGTTTTTGTATTTCTATACTGAGTTTAGTGCATGTAGATATTTATTGCATTGTAGTTACACCAAACAAATTCTAATTGCATTGTAGTTACACCAAATACATCCTAAGCACCTTGCAAAAAATGTTTAGCGTATTTGTTTAGTTTGCCATTGTATATATGCGTGTATCATTAATGTGTTTGGATGTTGGTAACCATTCCATTTGAAGGTTGTGAAAGTAAAAATATAGAATTACTGATTAAGAGTTGTACGGTTCTCATGTTATATCCCTGAAGTGGTGGCTACTTCAACTTCAACAAGGTTGTTGTCTACCATACGTTGGAATTATATGTAGCCCAAGCCTGACTAAATAGGGATAGTTGTTGCATATAGGTGTTTGGAACAAAATTTAGTGACTTATGATCATTTTATTGATAGGAGATTGCCTTTACGATCGAATGAGATATATGAAAATTTGAGTGATAAAATAAGATGCTACCTAATGCTGGTATAGATGTTTCAGAGATTTAGACTCTCCTGTAAGACTAAAGCCTTATGTGTTGGGCAGATGTTGGAATAAGGAGTAGTTGTTTATGGAGATGGTATAGATTTATAATGGTAAGGAAAACCATTTAGCCATGGACGTTGGATCTGCAGGAAGTAAATGGAATATTTGGGGGAAAAGGAAAAATGGTTGTTTTTCAGATTTGTTCAACGGTCAAATTAGTTATGAAGTTTTTGGGTTTGGCCAATTTATTATGTGGACATGCCTATGTTAAAGAAGTTATGTTGTGTTGGTCAGTCTCAGAGACCAGCAATTCTAATACATGGGTCTTCGGTGGAATCATGAGGTGGAGTTTATGACTTTTGTTGTAAACCGTAGGGAATTTCTAATGTCAATCATTGTTATTTGCTGCAAGGATGATGCCTTGTTCTGGTAGCCATCAAAGTACTGTGAACCATGTGTGGGAATGGTTGACTTCTTTGAGCTGCTAAGTTCAGAAGTAGGTTTTTCTGTAGTGGGTTTACCTTTCTTTTTGATGAATGTAGTGGGTCTATTTTATAGAAGCATCAATGTTGGCCTGTTCACAATTGTTTTATCTTTGAATTCCATCTGCCGGTCTCTCTCTTTTCACTTTAGTATTATCTTCAGCATTCATCTCTCAATTCCGTCTATATCCTGCCTATTCTCCACTAACACACAGTCACACACTCTCTGCCAACACACACACACATACATGCTCTGCCTAGTCTCCACTAACACACACTATCTGCCAACACATGCACACACACATTCTCTGCCTATTCTACACTAACACACACGCACTGACACACACACATACACACACACGCACACGCACACGCACACGTGCGCGCACACACACACATACCTTAGGAGTGCATTTGGTTATGTCTGGCCAAATGTTAGGAGTGCATTTGGTCAGAACCATCTTTACTTTTGTGGATATCTTGTTTTACTCCCAAGTTTGTAAAGCTGTGCTGATTTGCAAGATCATTTATTCCAAGCATCAGAGTTTTCATCTGAACTTGGGAAATTGTTCATCTTTCTTATTAGTAACTTTACTCTCACTTACTCTAGCTCGTTGATGGAATTCTTCTTTGTATATAATATACATATATATATATATATATATAAAGTGAATATGTATACACACACACACACACACACACACACACATAAAGTGAATATGTATTGAATTTGATAAATTAGAGGAGCATAAGTATGCAAGATTGTAGAATAGATATATTTTAGGTGAATCATAGCTAGGTACTTGTATGGTTCTTACTCTAATCATTAGTTAGGTACTTGCATGGTTCTTACTCTAATCATTAGTGTTCAAGAATCTGAAAAATTGAGATTCCCCATGGTACCTTTTTGTGGAGGCATTGATACCTTAAGTCATGGTTTATTTATTTATTTACAAGTCTAGCAACTCTTGTAGGTCATAACTCACTTCATTACTTCTTGCTTATCTTTTCTATTACAGTGCCTCGAAGGAGTTCATGGACACTCAACGGTTGGTGACACATGCTTTTATGTCTCACAAGGCTGGGCTGAGAGCAGAACACTTGGGTCTGCACAGGGCAATTTCTGTTCTGTTGGGATGGAGCACTGTTGTTCCCGATGACACAATAACATGGGTTCCCCAGGTATTGCCCAAGGAAGAAGCTTTGGCTCAAAAGGAGGATTTAATTCTTTGGCCTCCCGTCATTATCATCCACAACATATCTTTGTCGCACAATAATCCTGAAAAGTGGAAGGTTGTAACCATGGAAGCACTTGAGGCCTTCATAAGAGGTGCGTGGTTTTCTGACATTACATCACATGATACAATTTCTTAAGAAACATATATTCATGGAATTGAAAAATAAACCAGGATCTCCAAAACTCTATAACAAGTTAAAAATTAAAATGACAAGAATATGTGTTTAAATGTGGCAACCTTTCTGTTACTGAATAATAATCTGGCTCTCTTGAGTGCTCTACGAAATGGCAGGCAAAGGTCTTATCAGGGGAAGAATCAAAGTTGTCCTGGGAAAGCCAGCTGACCAAAGTACTATGGTGGTGAAGTTCTTGGGGACTTTTACCGGCCTGGGAGACGCAGAGAAACTTCACAAGTATTTTGCAGAGTGTAACCGCGGAAGACTAGAGTTGGAGCTGGCAACGTCAAATAACAGAGAAATCAGCATCAACGGGGAAGCAGGAATAGTTGAAGAGCATATGTTATATGGGTACCTGGGAATTTCCGAGGACTTGGACAAAGTAGATTACAACACCAGGAACACCGGTTTAGTAAAGAGCAAAAAGGAGATTCTGGACCTGGCAAATGCTCCTGTCAAACCTGAGGAGACTTAGCAGCATTGCTCCAGTAAGATTAGGCTTATGCTTTAAGTTTTATTTCCATAAGCAGCAAGAATATCTGGAAAAAAAAAAAAAAAAAAAAAAAACCCTCTACATAGAAACACCTCGTTCCATCGTGCTAGGAGAGGTGTTTGTCTGTCTTATGTTGATCTTTTCTGTTTTCTTCTCTAATAGGAATTCGGATAAATATAGTGGTGATCTAATTTGATAGTGATTTGCTGTAGATAAAAGCGTCTCAGTGACATTTGAAGTTACCTAATATCAAACTTGATGTAACTTCATTTTATTTTTTCCTTTTGGAACATATTATGTCTATTATTAAACCTACCGTGTGATAAATATTACCTATGGTATTGAGGTTGTCTTTGTCATTTTCAAACCATGAATGGTTCAGATGTTTCCAGCTCTATCACCTTTTTTTTTTTTTTTTTTTTTGTGGCTGAAAAAAAAGGGAAAAACCCTGGTTATCTTTGGCTTTTGAGAATAGTAATATTTAGATTTCGTTTGAGTAAAAACGTGTTGGCAATTCATGCCTGGGTCTTCCATCTATTTCTGGAAAATCATTTAAAAAAAAATTAAAAAAAAAAAAAAAGTTTATTCAGCTTCAGCAATATCATGATCATGAATCAACTCTCCAATTGGAAAGAGAGAATTGGTCACAAGGTGTTGAAGAAGTCCTTTTGAAGCTGTTTTATAAGCAATTCCTACTTATGCTACGTTATGTCTCAGATTGCCCAAAGAATCGTGTCATAAGATATCTTTAATGGTAAAGTTCTGGCAGGGTTCTTCAGGGAAACAATAAACTTCATTGGTTTTGTTGGAAGAAACTTTGTACTCCAGAACAAGTAGGTGCGCTTTGTCTTCGCTCTTTTATAGGGAAAATCTCTTCATGGTTTTTTGCGTTGGAAATTTGGTTCTGGTGAATCAGTTTCTACATTCAGCGAATCATACGCTTTCTCCTAATTTTAGTATGGCTACTGCAGTTTCTGATTTTTATCACTGAACAGAGAACATGGGATCTTGATAAACTCAATCAATTCCTTTCTTTTTTTATTTATTTTTATTGTTTGATAGAGCTTAATCTATTCTTTGACAAAAGATGATAATATATAGCTTTTAAGACAAATTATTCAGTTGCCCATCAAACTATAGGTTGTGTAACAAAATGTCTCTCAACTTCAATTTGTAACATTCGTTCCCGTAAACTTTAGAAGTCTTGCGAATCTTCCCCATCTGTTTTAATTTTTAACGGAATTGAGGGCACTTTAGTAAAAGAAGCACTAAACACAAAATATCTCATAACTTGTTCATTCTGTGTAATTAACTTGGTTTGAAAGAAAGATCCAAATCCTTCACTTTGGGAAAACGCATTCATAAAATCATTGATTCATAGTCTGATACTGGAAGAAGAAAATATTGATTTGTATTGATTACTTAATCAAAGTTTCTTTTCCCCTTGATCACTCTTAAATCGCTAACCTCAATTACATTTGACAAAGGAGTGCAAAAACTTCAATTCATCAGTTTTAGAAATCATCTCAGCCAGATATAATACCAAAATCACGCATCTAGAAAAAACTAAAATGAACCCACTGCACTAATTCATCAACAATAAGTCTTAAAAAATAAAAATAAAAAATAAAACGAAAAACTATTTTCTAAGTATGGCAATCGGACACCCAAACAAATAAATCGGCTCTGGAGAACTGTAGATGGCTGATCAATTACTAAGGACAGCTTTGTAATTACACATTAAGGACTAGTACTCTTGTTATAAATAAGTGTCACGTGTTAATTTCTGTCAATAATTTAACAGTAGGAAATTTACAGTTCAGAGAAAAGATATGTTATAAATCAAAATTTAGGAATATTTTGTAACGAGACCTATAATTCAGGAGGTAACCGTGTAACTTTTATTCTCACAGGTTCCTCTCAACTTGTTTTCTGCTCATATGGCATTATCACCACAAAAGGTCTCTATTGGCTTTCTGCTTCTTTGGATCATTGATAACAAATGCATCAGGCCTTGGTGTAAATTTTTATGGAATCTCAATCTTCCTAACAAACTTTTAAAGTTTTTATTTGGAAAGCGTACAGCGTTGGCTTGAAAAGAGAAATATTATTCAATCAGAATATTGCTCCAACATTTATTACTTCATTGAGTCTTTGGTGTCCCCACAAAGTATGTAAATACATATATACAGGGGATTCTACGAATTGTATCCCACTTAATTGAAATATATAACTATATTAAATAAATACTATCGCCATTTTTTTAAAACTTTCTTGCTCTTCTACTTCCAGTGCTAATCAGAAGCATTTCTTTAAGCCTATTTCTTTATTTACTCATTTATTTATCATCTTTTTCGAAAATATTACCCTACCATCATCTTGGTGTTCCCATAAATTAGTGTGTGTGTGTATATATATATATATATATATATATCTATATATATATATATATGTATAGGGGGAATTCTACAGACCCCACTAAGAAAAATGGAGTACTATTCCTCCATTGATTGGTGACCATGGAGATCCAAGATGAACAGTTGCATGTGATTGCGTGGTAGGAACTGATTGTTTCAGGTCGTTTAAAAATGTCAGAATTCTAGAAGGAAACTAAAGAATGTTCTCAATATTGTAAATTTCATTTTAAATCTGTAGCTTCTCTCAATCAGATGCTGATTTTGACTATTTAAATGACAACATCACTAGTTGTGAGGCAATAGCTTAAACTAGTAGCTAACCAAGGAGAAGGTATATTTTTGATATGAAATTGAAAATTGAAATTCAAAGGTAAAATATTGAAAACGTGCAAACCCATGATGTTATCCGTTTTTTTATATGCTTATAATGCATAGCATAAAATAGTTTTTTGTGCGTGGATTAGACAAACTCTAGCAAAAACTGTTTCATCCGTCCTCTATATTGTTTGCATGTTTCTTTTTATTTTCGTTTTTTCACGATCATAAAATGTGAATTGCTGAAGTGGGACCGACTTTGTTAGTCGGTATTATTTGGAAAGGTAATATATATGATGCTCCATAACTAATTAGCAAACAGTGTCGTATTTTGGCCGTATGTGGCCACGGTGATTTGTATAGGTGGTTCATAACACTTTTAGTTAGCACTTGCCGAACGTCTTCTAGTTTTGCTGTTATACTAAATTCCCCAGTCGCACTAATCAAATATATATATATATATATACTTTATTATTTATCTATCAATAAATATTATTATTTTAATTATAAAATATGAATTGAATAAGTAACTATAAGATATTAATTCAACGTTACTTTAATTATAAAATATTAATTTAATGTATCATTATTTTAATTATAAAATATTAATTCAACTATTGCGATAAATTAAATAATTAAGACTAAAAAAATTATAATAATTATTAAAATTAAATTCTTATCACAGCTACCAATCATTTACACATGAGAAATCAAGAATTTTTCGCTTGCAGACAAATCAAGGAATTGTAGTGTAGTGGCCTGGTAGGACTCCGCTTTGTTGAGCTCCATAAGATGGGTCCCACAGAGTGAGTCCCAACGTCGAAACCCACTATATGCGTACAATCCAGAGCCCCATAGCGGCACTCAAGGACTAAAATGTCAAAAAACTTGAATCAATCATTCAACCACATTCATGAACAAGTGCAAGAAACTGAGAATTAAAAGATTCAGCGAACTTCTAAAAGAAACACCAGAAAAGGCAGAAACTCATCTCAGGTTCAAATGTATTATGTAATTTTTTCTTACTTTTTCTTCCCATCTTTTTTTCGGCCAAAAGGAAATCAACTAATTCCACTTGTACACTATTGGTGTGAGGTTATACTAATACAGAATGTACAATACCAATAAAAAACCTATACAAAATTATAATACTTTTCTTCCAGGAACATCTCCCCAACAGCCACGTCAAACAAGCCATAGAGAATGCATTGTGTAATGACAAATCCATCCCCTTTTAACTTTTAAAAATGGGTCGTTTTCAGGAATCCACAAAAGATTCAATCATCAAGTAATAAATGAGCAGCAGCGGCATCCAATGATTCACAAACTTGAGCTCCTTCAGCAATTTTAAGTGCCATTGCAGCTCTGTAAGTCGCCAGATCCGCGTTGTTCATAAGTAACTGAGCCCTTTGACGGCTCTCAACAGCTAGCTCCACGCATCTGTTTGCCGAGGCTTTAGCTTCTTCAACCCTATGCATCGCGTTCTGTTCTTCAGCGGCGTCTCTTTCAGCTACCATTGCTGCAATCATCAGACAAGATCAGATACCATTTTAGCAATTTATAAGCAGTACCCAGAAATAATATTAAGAAGACACAAGTTGCATAGTCGTTTTAAAAGAGGGTTTGAATATTGTGGCTTTGATTACCAGATAATTTGAACGTAACAACAGATGAATATCAGAGCATTATAATAAATCCTATCTACAATCACATAAGTCTATCTTAGGTACGATTTGCACCGAGCCTACACAGCCCACAGCTTCCAATTTGAAAGATAACTAACAATCAAAATACGATTGAATGTTAAAATTCTTCATAAAGGATGAAGCGCGGGTATTGTTAAGCCACCTATTTGGTTTAAAATATATATTAATATATATATATATATATATATATGTTACAATACATGTCATGGGGAATTAAGATAAAAGTTAACAAAGAGAGTAAAAATAAGTAGTTCATAACTAACAATCTTTGAGGGGGGAAAAAAAGAAATTAAAATACCTTGCAAGAAACTGGATTGTTTGCCTCTTCCAACTTGGCTTGGTTGTCGATTGAAGGATCTTTTCTTACGAATGGCAGGCTTCGGAACCAATGTTCTCCTTCCTTGATACAGCTGCCAGTGGAACCGTCAAAGATGATTGAACATATGTCAGCCCAATCAGCATAACCTCAAATGATGAATATAAAAGGCCGAATACAATGAAAAAAAAAAAAATGATGAACATGGACGAAGGCAATCAAATACATCGATATAAGAATCTATGATGAAATTGCCTATATGTTACTGATATGTATGATATATCATAAGCATTTGGTATCTCGCAACAAATCATCAATAATTCTGATTAGATCGTAAAAGCTCGAGTTTTAGAGAGGCATAACAATGCTCTGATTTACATTCTGAAATGCAAACAGACATAACACTTTAAAACTCATTTCTAACGTGTGTAAATACTAGATAAAAAAACAACCGGAGCAGTGACGATGAGTGATTATAGAAACGAAATGAACACCTATTTGCGAATAAATCAATTTACATTCTAATTCACAAGGAATTGCTTGCCTCATCTACATCATTAGATGGGAGACCAGTTTAAGAGCAAGCAGATTGACAGGTGCAATATATGAAATTCATCTCAAAATGAACAAATTTAGTGAATAAAATAGCATATAAAAACTATTAAAAAGCAACCTGACATTGTCTAACTACCAAGAAAAGATTAGATTCTACTTATGTAGATCAGCAAGAACACAACATTGTCCAACTAGCAACAGGACAAGGAGCATCAGACCTCAAATCAGCTCTCACTTGGTATTTAAGATACATTCGAACAAAAAATAAATTGGAAAAATGGTATCGATAACAAAAGAAGGGAGAAGTGCAGTATGCGATGAACCAGAAAGAGAAAAACTTAAAACCATCCAAAGAAGAATGCTTTTACGAGTATATCTCGTATTACAACTTAAACAGAAGATATAAACAAAGTCGCTATCTTACAAGAAAATTAAACTCCCCCATTATTCGACAGAACAAGAACAAGAACACCAAAAGCAGTGCCCAATATCTGAACATTGCAATAAGACGCGAGTAAACTAAAAAAATACGAGCATCTCAAAAGTCCAATGCGACATATGAAGAGTAACTGTATATTTACCTGAAAAATGCGAATCAATGATGGCCGCTTCTGTTTCCTCTTTTTCATCGTCCAATAGACATAAATAGCTTCTATAGCTTTGTCACCACCCAGATGTGAACACAGATCAGTTAATGATTTCACGTCAGAGTTATCATATGGACTACAAAAGAATGCTTTCTCAAAGGCGTCAATCATTGACTCAAACTTATCATCGGAAACACACTCATATGTTTCATTCTCCACAGAAAACTCGTTATTTAACTTATTTAGCCATTCCTCATCCTCTAAATCCATATCATAATTTGAGGTCTTCCTCTTCAAGGCTCTACACAGTTCATCATCCTTCACAGATATGTATGAATCTGGTCTGCGAAATAGAGTACAATGGCTATCCCCCTTTTGTGAGACTTCATTTACACCAGGTATAGGGACAACCTTAACCCCAGGAGCCAACATATTCCGATCCGAACATTCCTGGTAAAGATCCTTGAAAATAAGCCAGTCTTTTCTATTAGGAAACTCCAGCTTCCAGCCATCATCCGCAGTCCACATTATATCATGTGTAAAGCGGTTGGAAGAACAAGGCCTCATAACTTTTTCTGCCTTGTGGGTAAATTTTGTTGATCCATCTTTCTTTACCGCAATAAGCCACCCTCCTAAAGGTGAGCTTTCTAACACAATACTAAATCCGCCTTCCCTGTAACACTTCTCTGGTTCAATAATCAATACATTTGCACAACACGAGGTTGAGTCCATATCCTGTGTCGAGTCCGCCACTGTTGAACTCACTTCTTTCAACTTTCGAGCAGAGTTACTCCGAAGTGATCTCCGAAGCTTGTTATTAGACGTTAAAGATAAAGACACTGAATTTTTCCTAAAGCTAACTAAATCAGAAAGTAAAGCATTATTAGGCTTCTGTACACCGCAGAGTGAAGGATTTCTGGCTTTCCTCCTCCGAAGTGAACTCCGCCTTTTCTGAATTCCTCTTGAAATTAACCCATTTCTATACTGATTGCTACGACAGGCAAATTTCGAAGCTTTGAAAGACGGATTTGATGCCAACCTGTTTTCACTGTGATTGGCTTCAGCGCTCAACAGGGGTTTGCTTTCCAAAGCATCCTTTCCCGGAGAGGATAACTGGTCTTCCTCGTCATCAGAAATCATCTCGTCAATTTCATTATTCCCAGCAAGAGATGGCTGTCGTTTGTATCTAAAAAACATGCAGGAATGCATGTGCATAAAACAAAGAGGAATTGCAGAAAAGTCCACACAAAACAATGGCACAAACTCCGGGGCCCCAAAAAGCTTGCAACTTGCAAAACGTTTGATCGAAGGATGATCCTGAATATGATTTACAAAATGCCAACGCAACAATAGAACGCAGTTAATTAGAGAATGCAGAAACTACAGACAAAAACATATTGAAACATTTCATGGTAGGACTTACCAAAAAGATGTTTATGCCACACGAAGAATTTACTCTGCTAATAGGCTCGGAAACGAGGAAAGCGAAAAGGTCAGTCAATCTCAGCCTGGCCCTCGTCAAGTACACCAAAATCGAACACAAAACCCCAACAGCATAGAAGTTCCTGTCCATGGAAGAACCAAAAACAACGCTAACCACTTCACTCGGCGTAAATTCGAGCCGGGAATCAGAGTCGTCAGCCACCGCAAAGCTCTCACCGGAATTCAACTTCCTTCTCTGCCTACGGACGAACCGACGCCCGTACCTTTTGCCAACGGAGCCACCAAGAGTTTCCGAATTGACCGAAGCATTGCCGGAACTTCTCACAGCCAAATTCTTCCTCTTCCGGCTATACACAAGTCCGAACATCCTATCAGGGCGACGCCCGCCATGTGCCAAATCCACACCAACGCCGCGGTTGTTGTCCTCCGGTTTCGGAGCCTTGATTTCAGCCACGGGAGGGGTTTTCTTGGGTTTGCTGTTAGTGTTGTGGGCCCAGCCGTTCGAGTCATAGCCTAAACCGCCATCGCCTTTGCCAATCTTGAACCAGTCGTACACATCGCTGTGTCTCCTGAGCTTGACTTCGCCGGAGTCCGGCCACAGACGCCGACCTGACCTCAAAACCCTCGCGCCGTCGACGCCCTTCACCACCCCGAACACCCTCGTCGTCCGCCTCATCCCTACAGATGGCATTGCCGTCGTCAAACTCCCGAGCGCCCCGACTCGGGGACCTGCCTTCCTGCTCGACTCACTGAGTCCACTTCCGAGTCGACTCAGTCACGAACTCGGAATGGAAATTAAAAAACTCAGCACGTACTGACCTCGTAATCGGAGAAAAAAACCGACGGAGTCAGCGATTCACGATGACCGCCATTAAAACGACTCACGAACTCAGCGACTCAGCGGACTCGGAACTCGGAAAATACTAACTTATAATACAAGTATATATCCTTTACAAAACAGAAAATCGATATTCACATACAATCAAGAAAAAAGAACAAGAAATTAGGGTTTTTATTGGATCTACACAAGAAAGACGGTAAAAACTCCGTATATAACTAAAGATCTAAGAAAAATAGATAAACAGATAGGGAATGATAGCAAGATAGTAGATCGGCGATTAATTTGGCGTTAAGAGGCTGTTTGGATAGAGAGAAAGTGAGAGTGAGAGTGGAGTAGAAAGGGAAAATGGAGGGAAAAGGAGAAACAGAGAGTCGTCTGCGTAATATCGCGCGGCTAGGGTTTATGATAAAAAAACTATAGTGAAGGTGTTATGGGTAACCACTCGCCGACTGACGAGAGCCATTAGATCTTATTAATGGACGGTTCAGATTTCGCCTTTTCGGAAAATTGGTTCGCTCCAAAGGAAAAGGGAGGAGAGAGAGAGAGAGATCTTTCTTCAGGTTTTTGGAGAGAGAAAGAGAGAGGGGTTTGATATTTTTCTTTTTTATTCAAGGTGGGGAACAGAGTTTCGAAAGTGAAAAGACGAGATGGGGATTCGATGTGACGCGTGAAGAAGAGGAGTTGGTTTGGGGGGTTTTGGGTAATTTCGGATTGGGTGAACTGGCAGCCCAAAAAGAGGGGTAAAGAGTCGGCGAGTATTGATGCGGTAAAATCGGAATTTAATTAGATTGTAACAGTTCCAATCTATTGAATGCGGTAAAAAAGAAAAAGAAAAAGAAAAAACAAGGGGATAATTTGCTAAATTCATCAACATAGGAGAAAAAAGGGTTGAAAATAATGAGGCATGTTTGGTTCGTTGGTTTGAATTTGGTTAGTTTAAATTGTATTTTTAATTGATGTTTAGATGTATAATTAAAATTTTAATTTGAACATAGAATAAAATTTGAATTTGTGTTTGATATGTGTGAAAAGTAGAGAGTGGGCATTTTTTACCGTTAAAAAATTGTTTAAACGGTTGAACTTGAGAGAAAAGCTAAACTCTAAGTTGGGCTATTTAACTCTATTCAAATGGTGAATATAATTTAAATTATATGCTAACCAAACGTCAATTTAAACTGTGTTTACTGTTCTAACTGAATTAAATTGAACTAAGCTAGCGAAATAAATAGGGGCTAGGATTTCAAAAATACCGTCGGGACCCACATAAATCAACTATACTAAACATTTTAACAACAAGATTGCCTCTCAAATTATAAACCTTATCACAAAATACTCTGTAAATCTTACAAAATTTTTCCCTTTATTAATTTTTACTTCTATTATTATCATCAGCCGCCATTTATGAACTCCAAAGATCTCTAAATCAAGCAAATTAAGGAGAAAGTTAAATATAGTAAAAATATGATAAGTCTTATTGTGTAATTATATTTTCACGTGACTACATAAAAATAAACTAATAAAATAATTTTTTATTAAATTATTCAAATAACAATCATTATTTATGTAATACGTATTATTTATAATAAAAAATCTTAACATAAGGATTTTTTTATTAATTTTTTATTAAGAATTTAGCAGAGAAAAAATTTATAAAAATTATTGAAATTTAAAGAGAAAAAACCTAAAATTAAATTTTGAGAGACTCGTGGAAAGGCGTATTATATAATTTGTTGGCGAAGAAAGGAGTAATTACTTTAAAGCTCCTCAAGTAGATAACAGTCAAATAAATCAATCAAAAGGACAAGAAATAAAGGAAAAAAATCGTCCTTTAAAATGTTATTGAATCCTTAGAGACTTGAAGCACGAATAGAAGAATTCAATCCTAGAAGGAAAATTAAAAGGCAATGCCAAGCATTTAACTCGTGAGATGAGAAATTGGATAATATAAAATGAAAAAAAGGAAAAGAAAAAGACTCGTGAGAAATAGGTAGGATGTTCCCCTAAATTTGGCACCATTGTATGATAAGTGTAAAAATAAAAAATAAAAAATAAAACAAAAACAAAACAAACGCCTCAAACAGAAGAATTTATTCTCTTCGGACCCATTTAATTTGTTAATTTAAATTTTTAATTTAAATTAAAATATAATTTTATGTTAAAAATTTTTATTATTATAAAAAAATTAAATATAAT